TAAATAAATAAATAAATAAAAATGAGCTAGTGTTCATAAAATGCTTAGAAAGTATACACATATATGTATATATACAGTATAACTGGAGCAATAGCACAGCAGGTAGGGCGTTCGCCTTACAAGCGGCCAACATGGCCGACCCGAGTTCGATTCCTCCGCCCCTCTCGGAGAGCCCGGCAAGCTACCGAGAGTATTCGATATGCCAGACACAGTAACAACAAAGTCTCCAATGGAGACGTTACTGGGCCCGCTCGAGCAAATCGACGATCAACGGGAGGGCCTTTACCTTTTACCTTACCTTACAGTATAACTATGTATATGCATATAAATACACACATGTATGCATATGTATGTATAATATGTGTACATATACATGTACAGTATCTATATATGCATATACATGTATATGTATATACTGTACATGTATATATGTACATATACATGCACAGTATCTATGTATGTATATACAGTATATTATTATTGATATATGGGGGTTACATAAGTGTTAAGGAAGACTGATAAAAAGTTTTCACAAGGTATTAGGATGTAAGAAGCACACAGTCAGGGATAGAGTAATAGTACAGCAAGTAAGGTGCTTGCCTTGCATGTGGCCAACTTAAGTTTCATCTGTGGCACCCCCATATGGTCCCCCCAAGCATACCAGGAGGGATACTTGAGTACCGTGCCAGTAATAAGCCCTAGAGCACGTCTAGGTGTGGCCCACAAAAAACAACAGAAAATAACAAAACACACAATCTCAAAGAATTGGCTCTCCTAAGATAAGAGGGACCCCAACAGGTAATGGTGTGAGTATTCAAGGGAAGAGTTGAGGAGAAATGAAGATTTTGGCACCATTTTTGCAATTCTTAGTTGGCTAAATGCTACTTGGATAGGAGTTGAAACTTTTTCTGAGATTAAAATAAATATAGGATTTTCACCTTGGGTAGAATTTCTTCTTTCATGTGAGAACTCTTTGCTGATATCGGCTCCATATCAGGCCATGGTTAAGCTTCTTGGTCTAGGAAGGATGATGATTCAGTTATTCTGGTTCAGGCTGTCTCCACCCAATCACAGCACACAAAATTGTATGAGACAGGTTTGTGTGTACACACACGCAGACACTTCACACAGGACTCGTGTGTATTGTCTGCTAAGTTATGTTTCTGCTGCACACAAAACTCTTAGCCTGAATTGGTTCCCTTTGCATTTGCATATTCTGTGTGCCAGGTGGCAAAGAAGAATTCATTTTAATAAAACAGAAACTGCCATTCTGCTCCAAACCACAGTCCATGCCTCAGAGTTTATTTTTAACCTGGGAGTGACAGTAACCACCTGGCTAAGCACTGACAGGCAGTTCATCTTTTCTGGCATCTGCTTAAGTCTCCCTTCTCAGCCTCACCTCTGAAAAGTTCACTAGGAGGTTCTGTGTTTCTTTTGCATTCTTGGCAAGGAAAGTCCCCAGTAGAGCTATCTAGAGTGACAGTCTCTCTTTGCAAAAATTGCCCATCAGAAGCTAAAGCTGAAAAGCATTAAAAATCCTTTTTTTTTAGGGACCAGAGAGATTATATAGGGGTTAAGTCAGGTGTTTGCATATATCACATCCCAGTTTGATCCCCCAGTATCACTTGGTCCCCCAAGCATTTGTAGGATGCAATCCTGGTGGTGCCTGAGTATCACTTGTGTGGCCCTGGAGACTCTCAAACACTGTTTGGGGTGTGGTCCAGATCATCCTCATACCACAGAGCCCAGGCAGGACCAAATCATCAGGCCTTAGCACTGAACTGACCATCTGATTGCCTGAGAATTGCTGGAAATAGTCCCTTGGTCTTCTGAGCACTATTTGAAAAATATCCAATTCCTTTAAAAAAAAATTCAAATATCATTTCAAAAGGATCTTGTGCATCTCTCTTCTCAGTTCCCTTGGTCTTGGCCTTTTCAACCAAGAGTTATGTCAATGTTAATGTTTCAAGTGGGACCACATCTGACCCAAAGCAAATTAACTGCATACAAACAGGTTATTGCCTCTTATCTACTTTTAATTATTTTGTAAAAAGCACCTACATGTTAATGATACAAACCCACACAAAAGGAAGTCTTCAGTATTGTCTTATGTCCTTTCAAATCTCCATTTCTTGTTCCTTTACTATTTTCCAAGTCAAAAGTCACTCAGATTTTGAATAGTTCTTTTACCATCTCATTTGACATTTGTCATTAACTGTTTTCTAGTGGGTGGGAACTACTTCCTGTTGGGAAAGAAGGAAGCTTTTGTTGCCCTGCAGTTCAATAATACCAACTCTATCTTTGTCATTATTCCAATATTGTTTAGAGGAAAGACTTGCTCTAATGTAATTAAATGATTGCTGGGCACGAAGGAAATGTGGTTTGGAGTATGGGGGTGGGTAAGATCGAATGAAATAGAATTTCTCTTCTGTGATTTAATAGCTGGATGACTTTGAAGAGTGATTAATTTTTCTGAGTTTTAGTATCTTCATCTAGAACAGGGGTGTGGAACATCTAGTCTCTGGGCCATATAAAGCCTGTGAAATCATGTGGTCTGGTCCTGGTACCTGACCGGACAAACAGGGATGCTTCTCATCAGCCACCAGTGACCCATTTGCCTAAATTGTCTGACCTGCAAATAGTATTGTAAATATCCAAGGGGCCCTTGGCCAGAAAAAGATTCCCTGACAATGATCTAAAAATAAGGGCATGCAGACTTCAAACTCACCTCTCGGGATTCATAAAAAATTATATAGCACAGAACCCCAGAGATGCTGACATCCTCGGAAGACTGCAGCATTTAGTTCTCCCTCCCCCATTGCTGTGAGCTTGGAAAAAAAATAATAGAACAGGGGCCAGAGCAATAGTTCAGCAGGTAGGGTACTTGCCTTGCACATGACTGACACTAGTTCGATCCACAGCACCTCATGTGGTTTCTCCCTAAGCCCTGCCAGGATCTTGAGTGCAGAGCCAAGAGTAAACCTTGATCACTCCTGGGCACGGCCTAAAAATATTTTTGAAAAAAGAAGGAAGGAAAGGAAGGAAGGAAGGAAGGAAGGAAGGAAGGAAGGAAGGAAGGAAGGAAGGAAGAAGAAAAAAAGAAAGAAAAGTAGAACAAAATACCACAGATTTTGGAAGGAGTCAAGAATCTCTGGACAGAAATTTCCTACTTCTTCTGATAATGCACCTCTTCTTGCCTTAGTTTTCTCACTGCGAAGAAACAGAATCTCCTTAACTATCTGCAGATCTGCCTAAGGGAGAGATACAGTATGGGTTAAGCCTGTTCTGTCTGAATCCAGCCCTGACTCCTCATTGACTGATGCCTTGCATGGTAACATACTGGTCACTGCATGCCCCTGATCCCAGAGTTAGTGTTGGTATGTCCCTTGAAAGACTGCCTTTGAGGCTCAAGGAAGCATTGAGGAGAACTTCCCACTTCTCCAAGATAGTATCAATGACTACGTGCTGGAATTTAACTCAAGTGCAAACCAAAGATGATGCAGTCCCAGATGAATAATGAGTCTTCAGCTAAGAGCTTTGAAGTCTTTTTAGATTGTCACACAAGAGCAGGTAGAACCAGATAATTTTTTAACTTCTTATTGAGATTTCAGATTAGTGTCTGCAAATGTTCTTGGAATTATTCTTTAACCAGTTGATTACAGTTAAGCTTCATTTTTGAGTACCAAGGGCTCTTGGGAGCAAACAACAGATCTAGGCTCTGTCACGATAATAAATATGTTTTCCAGGGAATTTCAATGAATCATTAATTCATTCATCAAGCATTGATCTCTGTGAGCTATGGTGTTAAAAAAATAACCATAAATAAGTAGAGGGGTTTTCTATATATATATATATATTTGGTTGTGGTGGAGACTTGGTTTCTTAGAGCTGAATCAGAGACAGGAAAATGAATAGTGATCAAATTCCCATATAAATCAGCAATTACCATGGGACACAAAGAGCTGGCCGAACTGAAAGACACTCTGGAGGGTAGATAAGATTGTTCTGGTGAGGTGAGGTGGAGACAAAAGACAAAAATGTGGAGATCTGAGGACAGGACATTGCAGCTATAAATGTTAAAAAGTAGGAATGATGGTCAGAAAGACTAGTGAAAGCTTTGTTCCTGCAGTAGACTTCCTGCCTGACTTACAGGTTGGAGAGGGAGATTGTGGCCAGATCAGTTAGGTCTTATCAGCTATGATAAGAAAACTTGTTCTGGATGCAGCTAGATATCATTCAAGATTATAAGGGAGGTAGGCATGGGATTGGCCATGTGCTTGTGGGAAAAAATTCCCACATCCTAAACTGTATATTTAAACCATTTCAACTATGCAAGGCTATTTACCTATGTATTTCATTCATACACACACACACACACACACACACACACACATGCATGCGCTTGTACATGCACAGAAAGAAGCATCAGAAAGTTTCAGAATTTTGCTCTAATTCTCATAGAGGTAGACTTGTTTTTGTTGTTGTTATTTTTTTTTGTTTTTTTGCTTTTGGGGTCACACCCACCGATACACAGGGGTTACTCCTGGCTTACTCAGGAATTACTCCTGGCCGTGCTCCGTTTTCTGGGGACCATATGGGATGCTGGGAATCGAACCTGGATGGGCCTCATGCAAAGCAAACGCCCTACCCGCTGTACTATCACTCCAGTCCCTGGTAGACTTGTTTTTCCTTCATGAATGTTTTTGTGAGTTTCCCACAAACTATTATTACCTTAGATATAAGAAATAAATCACAGGCTAAAAGAAAAGAAAAGCTTTGTTGTGGTTTCAGTCAATGCCGAGAAGGTGAAGAAGAGTGATGCTACTTCTCAGTGGCTTATCTCAGATTTGGGAGGCTCTGGAATGCTGGAGTGGAGGTGGATAGCTCTGGCCAAGCCGAGAAGTCTGTTTTGCTCTTTTGAGAGAATCCAAATCACACTTTTTACTCTTCCGGGGTGATTTATGCAAAAAAAAATTTAAATCTTCTGCTTTATTCCACAGAACTGAACGTCACCTGCCGGTATTCAGGCGTATTCCACGTGGAGAAGAATGGGCGCTACAGCATCTCGCGGACCGAGGCTGCTGACCTCTGCACGGCTTTCAACAGCACCCTGCCCACGATGGCCCAGATGGAGCAAGCCCTGAAAGTCGGGTTTGAGACCTGCAGGTAAGAGACCGGCGTTTGCCACTGCCTGGATCTGTTGTCTGGAACGGGAGGCGGGGTTTCTGGCTGAAAGTCTCCTTGCTGGCAGGCGGAGGGGTCAGGGGCGGGGATTTTGGCTAGAGAGGGTCCACCCATTACCTTGGTCCGGTCAGTCTGGGAACTAAAGATGATTGCCTGGAAGGTCAACCCCACCCATTACCTTGGTCCGGTCAGTCTGGGAACTGTGGGATGGGCTGGAATTGAAGACGCTTTTAGGAATCACTAGGGGCTGCTCAGGGGAGGTCAGTAGGGGTCACAGGCTGGACTCCTCTTGCCAAAAGTGCGTCCTCAGCTTTCTTCAAGCTTTGAAGGAGTGCGCAATATCATTGTCGGAACCACAAGAAGACTAAACCAAATAACAGTGTGCAAAATAAGTATGTGCCCGGTAGGATCTCGGCCCTGCAAACATGGCTTAGAGCAGACATTGCAAACAACTCTTTTTAAAGCAAAACAAAACAAAATGAAAAAAAAAAAAAACCTCCCCTCGCTCTGTGTCTCCCTGGTTTACAAGTGTAAATAAAGGACCCTAGAAGTTATATTTTGACATGTGATGGAGAAGCAGACAAGAGGGACCCACAGGAGTCTTCTAGCAGGGCTCACTGTGCTCCATGATGCCTTCCTGGTCCCTTCTGTTTCAGACTAATCACAACAGGCAATGGATGTTTTGGTTTGTTCTTGGTTTGTTTTGTTTTAAAGTTCCAGTTGCTCTATGGAAAGTGGTGAAGTGGTTCACATTAAAAGTGAGCAGTGGTGAGGGCTGCGGTGCAGCGTTTAGCTTGGTTTGTTTTCACTGACGAGTTCTGGGTAAAACTAACAGCAAAGTTTCCACTGCAGCCTGCGCTTTTGCAATGCAGTGACATGAGGAAACCAGGTTCCCCTTCTCTTTTCTCGTCAAAACAGGCACATAAGACATACTGCCTTTTGAAGTCGGGTAGATAAACTCTTTCCAAAAAAAAAAAAAAACGTGAAATATAAGTTCTATACATCTACTCCTATTCTTTGTTACAAAGTCAGTTGGTCCCATTATGATCCCTAGCAGAGATTACTGAATGGGTAAAGGAAAACCTTTACTCTAAAATTTTACTGTCTAGTAGTCTCATGTGGCTGGCTAATTACACTAAATTCACATGATAACACAAACAAACACTGTCCTCCCGTTGTTCATCAATTTGCTGGAGCGGGCCCAGTAACGTCTCCATTTTTGGAACTTGTTGTTACTGTGTTTGGCATATTGTATACGTCAAGGGTAGCTTGCCAGGCTTTGCCGTGGGGGTGAAATACTCTTGGTAGTTTGCCAGGCTCTCCGAAAGGGGCAGAGGAATCGAACCTGGCTTGGCCGGGCTGGCTGCACGCAAAGCAAATGCCCTACCGCTGTGCTATCGCTTCAGCCCTACATGATAAAATGGTAAATTTAATTCCTTAGTGGCACTGGGTACATTTCAAGTGTTCCATGAGCCATAGACAGCTAGTAACATCTGGACTGGCCAACAGTTTGGGAAACTTTATAATCACAGAAAGTCCTATTCGGCAGCACTGCTGTAAAACACAGGAAATGCATTGGTAGACATTTTTGTGTGTTCAGAGCTGGGAGAATATAAAAGTTGGAGAGAGAGAGAGGGAGAGAGAGAGAGAGAGAGAGAGAGAGAGAGGGCTCTGCTGACTGCTGAGCCCCTGCTATAGGCTGCCATTATTAGATCTCTTTATTCTATTTCCAGGGCTAATTGTTTAAACGTGACCTGGACTAGGCTATAGTCCTAAGAAAATGGAGATAGAATACTGCATTTTGATTGTGAAATGCAGACCAAGACTACTTACAAAATACTAAACATCCTCATATCTCAAATTCAAGGGAAGTTCATATCACTCCATTGGCTAATTGCCAGGCACATAGTCTGAGCTCAGCCTTTACAAGCTCAAGTTTCTCCCCTAACCCTCACACTGCACCATGGTTTGATTATATGACCCCTTTCTATGAATGAAACCCCCAAGTCTTGGTGATGGTTTTCAGTTTGCCGTGGGCCACAGATCCTGTGTGAGGATTTGTACTTCTAATGAACTCAGAACAAGATTTTGGGCACCAAGTTCACTGAAGAACTGAGAGTCAAAAAGAGAAGGAAGCTTGTGCTGCATGGGTTTCTCCCCTCTGAGTTGTACACAACTTACATGTGCAACACACACATGTAAATTTTACTATCTTCAAATCATGCACATACCACATAAAACCGATCAACCTGACACGAGTAACAGAAATACAGGAATAACTAACAAAGGAAATGCAGATTCTAGATTGTCTTGTGAGATGGAGGAAGGAGGAGCAGTAAGTCTGCTGACGAACATTATTTTTTTTAATTAATATATTTTTTATTGACTCACTGTGAATTACAAAGTTACAAAGATATTTATGATTGAATTTTGGGCATATATTTTCCCAACTCTAATCCCTTAACCACTGCCCACTCACTATCCTCCACCAATGTTCCCGGTTTCTCTCCAGTCCCCCAACCTGCCTCTGTGGCAGGCACATTTCCCCTCCGTGATTGTCCTGGCTTCCTACTGATGACCAGTTCTCGTGCTGTTTGTTTCTATTGCCTTTGGGCATAGAACATTATTATTTTTAAGAAGAGGAAGACGGTTCAGAACAATAGCACAGTGGGTACGATGCTTGCCTTACATGCTGCTGTTCCGGATTTGATTTCCAGCACCTCACCTGGTTCCCCAATTGGTCTGGAAGTGATGGATCCCTGAGCACTGCTAGGTTGCTAGGTTAGCTTCTCCCCCCCCCAAAAAAAAAGTGTCACAAACTCTAGCTTTCCATTATAGCTAGGTATTAGGAATTGCAGAACTCATTTCCCTAATTTCACTCAGGTAACTATAAATCAAGATCAGTCATGGGACAGATGGCAGAGCCTCATAGATGAGGATAAACCCTTAGCTATTTTCTTCCATCTGCCCCACCCTGATTAGTGGCAATTCTCAGATATATAGAAACTTATTAATATTTAATTGCACTGCCCCCATAGCAAGCTAAGGGCTTCTTTGGGGAAACCAGTCTTTCTATTCAGATGAGGAATTAGTCATGCAAGCTAGAGTTGCAACATAGACATAATGAGTTCTGTGTGCTTAGAAATGTTAAACTCCCAGCCATTTCCATGGGTCTTGCAGGATGATGCAGTATGTTCTGATGCCTCTGGTAGAAAAGATTAACAGGATCTACTGAGCTTTAGAGCCAGGCTGCATTTTCAGAAACTTGATGAATTGAGCTTTTCTCTCTCCAACTTTCCCCCGCTAACACTTCCTTCAGTGCAAATGATATTTTCTCAGCTTTCATCATTTTTTTTGAGGTATCCTGTATTTGGGAGAAGTATTAGGTAGCCATCACAATATTAAAGGAAGAGGTGGGGTGCTGTCAACTGCATCTGAAGGGGTGTCCAGTTCTAACCTGCCTTGAGAAGCACCTTTGTTGGGGCAGAGTATGGAATTAACTTCTCTAACTATGCAGCTTTTGGAAAAGTCTTGAAACAAATGTGACACTGCTCTCTAGTCACTGCATCACTGTCCCTTCTCATTTTAGTGTTGGCCAGTTTGAGGGACAATGAAGTTATGCTCATGAGGCAAAATGCACTATGTATAAAATAGTAACAAGACTGCATGTTTTCATGAATTCTGCTTTCCTTTCTCTTTTCCTTTTTTGTTTAAACTATGCCAAGGATTGAATACAAGATTTTACCTATGCATAACATATGTTCTGCTGCTGAACCATAACCCCACCACCCCTAATGATTGTGTGTATGTGTGGTGCCAAAGATTGAATTCAAGGTCTCAAATATGCAAGTCTGGTCCCTTGGTGCTGAACCATATCCCTAGCCAGGTGTAGTCCAAAGTATGGGAATTTGCAGACAAAGTTGTAGCTAGAGTCTAGGGCCTGGGCACTGAAACCCTTCAGACATTGGTGGACAGGAGTATAGAGCCACCTTGTTCTCTCTGTTGGGATCTGATCACATTTTGTTGTTTCTGGAAACTTTGAAGGCAACTGAATGTATGCTGAGTGGAGCTCGTGCTTTAAAGTGGTCACCCTTCTCTCCTTGGTGACCCAGACATTTCTTTCTATTCCAACCAATTTGACAGTGCAGTCCACATTTTTTTATTTGAGACTACTTTTTCTTTGCTGAATGTAGTTTTTAAGGAAAAATTTTTATATAGCTCTCACGGAAATCTCTTTGCTTCTATAAGCCTTGTGGGTCCCATTGCCTAGTCTGTCATTTTAATTGGAGATCACTCTGTTATTGAAACCTCCAGAATCTCTAGGGCAAATTGAATGGAGAGCATTGCCATTTGAGGGATTGTTGTGATGTCCTTGTCACCTCCACGCTGGTAGTTTACCTCTGTTTTTTTCCCCCCCACAGGTACGGGTTCATACAAGGGCATGTAGTGATTCCCCGGATTCACCCCAACTCCATCTGTGCTGCCAACAACACAGGAGTGTACATCCTCACATCCAATACCTCCCAGTATGACACATATTGCTACAATGCTTCAGGTTGGTTCTAGGTGGAATGTTTGCATTTGGAGTCGCCTCTGGCAGCTGTTCTATCTTAGTAGGAATTCATGTTACTTTCAGTCACCTAGAAGGTGTTTATTGACTAGCTCTAAGGCAAAAAGAAGTTTCCCTACTCTGTGCTAGAGAGGTCAATCAGACAAATAAATATTAAATACCATGTATGCACATGATGAGTGTATAAAGAAAACAGAACGCAGAGTAAGAGGCTAAAGGATGCTGGGGAAACCTTTTTCTGAAAAAGCTATAAGGAAAGTGTCTTAAAGGAAGCACATGTCAGAGAAAATGTAAGTTGAAGATCAGGCTAGGGGAAGTTTGGACAGTTAGGGCCAAGCCAGGCATGTGATAGTATAATGTGGCTGTTTGGAGAAAAGCAGCAAAGCCACGGGGGCTAAAGTCTTGTGATCAAACTGGGGAATGCCAAGAGGTAAAACAGAGAGGTTAGTGGGGAATATTCAGGCAGTCTTAGAGGTCATAATAAAGGTTTTGATTTATTCTGACTGTAATGGGAAGTCATTGCAAGGTTTTGGATGGACTTGAGCCTAACAATAACACTGGAGTAAAAGTCAAATACTTGGTTTAAAGGCATGAATTATATGTTTGGCTGAAGAGGATCTTGACAGGCTAGATGGTAAGATCTTTGGTTTCATTGACTGTCCTTACCCAAAAATTGAGAGCCTAGAGACTAAAGAATAAGAAAACCAAATTAAAATACGCAGGCTTCACTGCTAGACAGCCAATCCTTCTCTCATCTAAGTGCTTTCAAACTCTTGTTTGCAAGTCTCATTCAGGCCCCCTGCAAAGTTAAAGAATTCTACGCATCAGGAATTTTCAGGGTCTTTTGCGGAGTATCTACACATAAGTGCCAAATTCTGTAAAGTCAACAATCAAATGTCTTAGTTCTCAAACTGAGCCTTTAATTCCTCCTAAAGGTTTGTGATTGTGTGAAGGGAAAGACAAGCCACAAATTAAACTTAATATGTCTTCTTGGCAGTTTCCTTGAGGATGGAAAAGGGATTACATTAGCTGGAAAGTAACTTAAGACATTATCTGTATGAGACAAGCACATCTATTATTATATGATGAGTTGCAGAATTTTTTTGTGTGAGACAAACACAGGTATTATATATGGCAGCAGAGTATAGAATCTGCATGGATTTTTAAACTACAGGAGGGACATCAAAGACATGAGATTACATCAATAGCTTTAGGCTACACCACCCACTGTTGTTGCCTGAGCATTGGGGATCAGAGTGGTTATTCAGCTGGGAAAACTAGAATTTAGGAGAAAGAGAAAGTATCCAGAGCTGTTAGTTAAAATTGAACCTGTGAAGCTAGTAGTAAGTAAGGTTCATTATATGTAAGTCACCAAACCTATGGAGTGACACAGGAAACAAAGAAAAGGAAGTCACAGTGTTTTTTTCTCCATGGCAGACGGGTAAAGAGTAAAAATAGTCTGACCAAAAGGAAGGGTGTCCATCCAACTAAAGCAAAAAGAATGCAGCCTGTTTCCATGCTCAAAATCAGAATCCCATTCTAATGACATTAGAGTGTAAATGACTATAAATAAATAAGAAATAGACATAGAGCAACACGGGGTCTCTCTAGTTTATCTTTATGTCAGGAGTCAGAGGAAGACTCTGGGAAGGGTGTACTTCAGAGGAGGGAGTTAGTCACATTGTTACTAAGAGTACGAATCACATTGTATGCCCTTAAGAGTCACAGGGTGCTGTCTGCAGTGTCTGTAGTTTATCATGTTAAGTTAGTAAATGCAATAAATTATATTACTGTGCATCTACATTGTCTCACTTTTTTTTTACAAGTTAGTATCACTTTACCTTAAGAAATTGAACCCCAAGTGGCAGAAGCTCACTCAGTTTTTATTGCTTGGCATTGAAGCCACTTTTGACAAGTTGAATAGTTTTTCTTTCCTTTGGGAGGTTAGTTCAGTTTAAAATTTTTAGTAAATCTGGGGGTATATTGCTTGCCAAAATAGCTGTATGATGGTAGTGAAGTTAAAAGTAATGTGTTTTCTGTTTTCTATCCAAATCTACTCATTGTGGGTTATATGCATTAAGAAATTTTTAAGTTCTGTTTGTTTTTATTTAAATTTTAAAAAGAATATTTAGTGATTAGATATTTGTGCTTAGTATTGTGAGGTAGAGTGAATGAGAACCTAACGCCGTATTTCTTGTCTTGGTAGTTAGCAATATTGCTGAAACAATGAGACCAAAATTAATTGATTAGTACATGAATAAAGGAAACAGAATAATTGTCAAAGGACCCACACTTTATACTTAATTAATCCATACTATTTTATAAATGTCCTGGTCTCAAGTTAGGTGATAAGAGTGTTCAAACAACTACAGATCTTGGTCACTTTCTGCTCCATGAAAAGGATCTTTCTGGAAAGATCTTTGAATTCAACCTCATCTGAAAACTAGAAGTAAGTGGTTGGGAACCAGTCAGGTGATTTCCACCTATAAACTGCCTATGGGGAATATAACTAACTCAATCTTACCAGTTATTTCCTTCGTGCTTACTTCATACTTTTCTTTCAGCAAAAGTATTGTTAAGTATTTGGCTTGTGTTTACAAATGAACATAAGACAGGCCCTGAAAAGCTTTGCAACTTTAATTCATTAATAAGACCTACCCTGCTGACTCTGTGGTAGTAACACAGAGAATGACTTCAATTCATCCATTCTTAAAATTTGCTTTCAGGGTCCAGAGATATAGTACAGTGGGTAAGACACTTTCTTTGAGCTTGGCTTACCAGGGTTCTATCCTGGCCACCCTTAAGTATGCCAGAAGTGAATCCTAAGTGTAGAGCAAGGAGTAATCCCTGAACATTGCCAAATGTAGCCCCCAAATTAAAAAAATTGAACAAAAAAAAAGTCGCTTTCCACAAAAAGCTTGTCCTTTTTTTTGAAGGCAAAATTTAGGAGTATAATCTATATTAATTTTCTAGACTGGAAAGATAATATAGCTGGTAGAGTGTTTGCCTTGCATGCAACCAACCTGGGTTCAATCTCTGGCTCCCCATATGGTCCCCTGAGCACTCCCAGGAGGAATTACTGAATGCAGAACCAGGAATAACCCCTGAGCTTGCCAGGTGTCACACAAAAAAAACTGGAGTGAAAAAATGAAAATAATATTCATTTTCTTCACTTATTCTTTCACTAATTATTTATTGAAAACTCAAAATGAATGAAGGGGTCTTTCTGGGAACAGGTGATGTGCCAGTCTGAAAGTTGATTTTTCTTTGGCTACTTGGCTGAAGGAGGGCCAGGATTCCTGAGACAGAAGTGTCCCTCAGAATCTTTCTAGCAAATCCTGGGATTTCGAAAAACCTCACCCACCCGTTTCTTCCAGCAATGTGATGCTCATTAAATGGAATGGAAGGCTGGCTAATGAGGTTGTGTTCTCAGACATGGGAGCATGAGCATACTGCACATTTGGGTCACCCTCTGTTTTAGAAGGCTTTCCAGAGTTTATGTTCTTTATAAAAGTTAAGATGAATTAGAGCATGAAAAGGGTCTATTTGAACAAATGTGCTAATCACTGTCACTGTCACTGTCACCATCACTGTCCTCCTGTTGTTCATCGATTTGCTCGAGCGGGCCCAGGAACGTCTCCATTGTGACACTTGTTAACTGTGTTTGGAATATTGAGTACATCACGGATAGCTTGCCAGGCTTTGCTGTACAGGCAAGATACTCTCGGTAGCTTGCCGGGCTCTCCCAGAGGGGTGGAGGAATCGAACCTAGGTCGGCCAAGTCGACCGCATGCAAGGCAAATGCCTTACCTGCTGTGCTATAAAAAAAAATAAAAACAAAACCTGTTTTGAAAAGATGCCCCATTCTATTATAATCTAGCACCTGAAACTTCCGGTGCACTACTGTTGCTTATACTTTATTTCATCCTTGGCTGTAAGATGCTGTACCCCAAGGTCTGCTTCTGGACCTGAGCATCAGAAGTATCTCACAGGTCAGGCCAACTTTTGGTGGTGGTCCCAAGACAAAAGGGTTGTTGATACACTGAATTTTCAAATGAAAAAAATTTTTAAGCGGGAAAAACTTAATATATTAAAAAAGATATTATCATTAACCCCAGTCACATGTGGGTTTCTTAAAAGCAGGAACAGGAACACATTTGTCTTTTTCTCCTTTTTTATTCGGTAATGTGGCATGTATGTTAAGTTCATTCTTAAAATAAGTACATGAACTAATATATCTGTTTCTGTCTTTAGTGATTTCTCTAATGCTGCTTGCAGGCTTATTTATCTAAATGCATCGTGGCTTGCTTTCATGGCAGCCACTTTAGGAATTATTGTCATGGGTGTGCTAATTGGATGGATGAAGTCTTCCCTTGGGACAGTCTTCCCTTGATTCTTTCTCCTTTTTCGTATAATTAACAGTATTTACAAAAGTGCCTCTCTGTCTCCATCACATGTAGATTTTATGACCAAGATAAGGACACTGCTCATCTTGTGAGATTTACATATTCCTATAATGGTGAAGGGGCCGGAGGGAGGCAGGGTAGAGGTTGGGAACTATGCCATGAACTCTCAGGTAAATTAATGATCCATTAGAGGGGGGTGAAGGGGAGTCTGAGAAGAAGTTAAAGGGGTAAAATGTGTGATAGTGAAGGGTGTGGGGATGAGGAAGAGGAGGATTTAGATTGGACTATGAGGGATGACTAATCAAGGAGACGGCTTTCCTCAGTGAAGAGACTATTCATTTTTATTTTTTGATTATTGTGCTGAGAGACTATTCCTGGTTCTGAGCTCTGGCATGATCCCTGGTCACTCAGGAGATCATATATGGTGCTGGGGATTCACACTGGGTGAGCCACGTGAGAAGCACCTAACTTAGCTCCTGTGCTACTTCTCTACCCTAAGAATCTCTTTTGAGAAATCTTTTTTTTTTCCCCTTTATTTTATTTTATTTTTTTTTAAAGTTGTAGATTTACAATTTTTTGTGCTTTGGTTTCAATTTTGAGAAATCTTTTAAGACACCCTGACAGTGCTTGTTATTTTTCCTTAAAAATGCTCTTAACTAGTAGGAAAGGCATTTTTCAGGAAGCTGCCAGTTAATTTTACTATAAAGCCAAAGAAATTAGCAAATAAGGGGTACTCCCCTGCCTTTTCTGTGGGATAAAATGCTTCTTTGAATTGGAAAGCAATTGATACCCACTTATATTTTTGTCCAGTATTAGAATATTCAGTGATTTATGGCAGGATATTTGACATGTTTTCTTTCTGATAGCACAGCGGGTAGGGCGTTCGCCTTACAAGCGGCCAACATGGCCGACCCGAGTTCGATTCCTCCGCCCCTCTCAGAGAGCCCAGCAAGCTACCGAGAGTATTCGATATGCCAGACACAGTAACAACAAAGTCTCCAATGGAGACGTTACTGGGCCCGCTCGAGCAAATCGACAATCAACGGGAGGGCCTTTACCTTTGCCTTTTACCTTTTCTTTCTGACAGAAATCTGGTTGCCTCTCTCCATACATACATACATACATACATACATTTTTTCCTTTCTCTTTATCCAGAAATAACTCTAAATAAATCAACCTAACAAAGTGAAATTTTATGTGAAGACACATATTTTCGGGATTGGAGCGATAGCACAGCGGGTAGGGTGTTTGCCTTGCACGCAGCCGACCCAGGTTCAATCCCCAGCATCCCATATAGTCCTCTGAGCATCTCCAGGAGTAATTTCAGAGTGCAAAGTCAGGAGTAACAACCCCTGTGCATCGCCAGTTGTGACCCCAAAAAAGAAAAAAAAATACATTCTCTCTCTGTCTCTCTGTCTCTCTCTCTCTCACTCACTCACACACACACATACACAAATATAAAAGAGAAAGTATAGAGACTATAATCCGCAGATGGGTCCAACTTTCTATTATACATTTATACATATATTATACATTTCTATTATACAGAGATTTTAAGAGTTCAACAGAAAATTTGCTGGCCACATCACCCTGTTAGACAAGAGTATAATAATTTGTTAGGACACTCTACAGTTTTCATTTAGGACTCAAAGGATGTGGTTGAAGCTTTTTAGATTCTTTTTTCAGAGCTCTTTCCAAAATGTGGCTCAGAGGAGAACTAGTAGGTGTCTTTTGTAGGTGTAGGTTACTTCTGTACGTGCTCAGGCAATCGTAAGGATTGGTTTCAAACACTTATTTCTGGAGAAGAGAGGTGGGGGCAGGAGGGACAGAAGAGAGATGAGAAACAAAAGAAGACCTCAGAGTTGCATCAAGTTAGTAGTTTCAGGAAGAAATATTCAAATAGAACAAATGTATGCAACCTCAGAAACTACAAATTGAGAAAAAATATAGAGTAGGCACTTAGAGTGAATATTTAGATGAATAATTAATACATTAGTAAAAAAGGATTAATTTGTTCTTCAATATTTATCAATTGAAGTATTTTGTTTTAATCTTCAGAAATCTATGCAATTTATGTTGATAAATGGGTGGCATATCTATATTTATTGTTTTTTATTATTTCTGTAGAATATTGAGATTTTTTGTGATTTTTCTCATAGCTCATGCATTTATCTTAAGATATTTTTCAATGTAAGTATCATGCTAAGCGAAATGAGTCAGAAAGAGAGGGATAGACATAGAAAGATTGCATTCATCTGGGGAATATAAAGTAACAAAATATGAGATTAATACCCAAGAATAGCTGAGATCAGCACCAGGAGCATTACTCCATAACTTAGAGGCCAGCCGGGTATCCTAGAGGAAAGGGCAGTTCAGATAGAGAAGGGAGCACCAAATAAAGGGTGTTTGGAGGATCCTCCCAGGAGGGGAGATGCATGTCGAAAGTAGACTATGGACTGAACATGTTTGCCACTCAATGCCTCTTTTGCAGACCACAACACCCAAAAGGAGAGAGAGAACACAGGGGATTGCCCTGCCACAGAGGCAGGGGGGGATGGGGGGATGGGGATGGGGGGATATTATCCATGGTGGTGGAAAATGGGCACTGGTGGAGGGATGGGTATCTGATCATTGTATAATCGAAACCCAAGCACAAAAAATTGTAAATCTACAACTGTACCTCATGGTGTTTCACTAATAAAAAAAAAAGATATTTTTCAATGTTTTTATATTAACTTGTAATAAATTCAAAACTAATTTATAATGTGTGCTTCATTAGAGAATGATTATGTCTGTCTTTATCATTGTAACCCAGACTTCGACAGAGTTTGATATAGAAATTATGTATATGCTAATAAATAAATGACCAGGACTGGGAAGAAGTAAATTTCCAGAAGTGTATGAATCTAAATAAAAATGCAAAATGTATCACAAACATCTGAAAATTTCTTCTAAAACTTAACCATGTTTCAGATAAAACGTTGTATATAACAGGTTCTAACAGGTTTTATTCTAACTCATAGAAATAGAGTAGATTTTGCTCATATTATTTATATTTCTCATGCTTTTATTTTTCTTTTTTAACTCCATAGCTCCAGTTGGAGAAGATTGTGCTTCAGTCACAAACTTGACGAATGCCTTTGAAGGACAAGTCTCCATAAGTAAGTGTCCTTTTTAATTTTCCTTTTCCTTATTTTGTGTAAAGGGTCAGATGCATTTTTAAGTTTTCTGAGTAAATAGAATGATAGTCACTTTACTAAGACCAGGACCTTCAACTATGAATCAGTCTCCCTTCCTCTTTCCTTGTGATGGCTTGAAACTCCACTTTGGTTCTGCCTAATGCATTGTTCTTCAAACTTCTGTCATTTGGAAAATTATTCCACTTCTTTATATTTGGCATATCTATATATACACAGTACTGCCATTTGTTTGATTTAAAATTTTTAGTTTATTTTCTTATATTCTAGCAGTGGAAAGATCTAAATCTCACTCATGTTCTCCCTCATAAAGAAAAATTAATAAGAGTTAAAACCCTAGAGCCCCTTCAACATTCCAGGATTCTTCTAGAATTGTGTACAATTTCACTGAAGTCTTGAACAATAAAAACAAAGAGCATAAACTTCCTGATATGTTTTAGAACAGCTGTGCCATTTCTACTTAAAGTCATCTTGTCACCAAAAGTAGGCATCTAAAACTCTGTATAAAATAGAATAACTCCAATTTTCAAATATGCCAACATATTAATTGTAAACTTTCAGTTATTTATAATGATTTGCTCATAATTATTGTTATCTCAAGCTTGATTTCTTTGAGAAATATCAGAAAGTTAAGGAGGCCTGATTTGGCCTCCTGCCCACCATACCATTCAAGGTGCTTGGGAATGATACTTGGCATAAATATGAAACCATTTCTGAATCCCACAAATCCAACAGCCTTTCTACCATACTATCTCTCAATTATGTGCAGATTCAGCCTTAGCTTGTGTCTTCCCAGAGAAAGAAGAGGTCGGCAGTGTAAGCTGTGCTGTTTCACTCAGCAAGGTTTTAACTCCTAGAGTCTTTCTATCAGGGTAATGTTAGAGAAATGACTTATTCTTTCTAAACTTTGGTCTTTTCTTATATGTAATGAATAAACAAGAATTGTCATGACAACTAAGAAAAAAGCATGTCTAATGCACATTACCTTATAGTATATATTTCCTTTTCAGACCCATGTCTGTGGAGACTGAGGGCGATTGAGATGTTGGATGATTTCAAATAGTTTTATTTGCATCTCTTCTTGGACAAGCTGTGTAGGTGGATGAAAGGAATTGTTTCACCAGTGAAATGTAGTGGAAAATAAAAGTTAGATGCACTCTTGTTTAAGAGTAACCCATAATTGAAAGCAACAACTAGGAGTACTGCTACTTATTCAGTATTTAACCAGTGATTAGACTGACTGTATTGTGCACGAATTCCACCTTACTTTTTTTTCTCCATTTTTTATAATTTTATTTATTGAATCACCGTGAGAGCAGTTACAAAGCTTTCGGGTTTAAGTCTCGGTCATAAGATGAAATACCCATACCTTCACCAGTGCCCATTCTCCAGTACCAAAAACCCCAGTATATCCCCATTCCACACCCTCCCCCTACCTATAGGGCAGATGATTTCCAAATTACTCTCTCTCTACTTTGATTGCATTGATTACATTCAATATTTTGACACTAGACCCACCATTATTATTTTGGATTTTACTCTAACACTCAGATCTGCCGAAAAGTCAACAGTAGACAATTTGTTTTCTGTTGCTGGTTAAGAATGACATATGATGTTACGTGGCTGCAGTGGTGGCCGTGCAACTTTGAAATTACAAAATTTTAAAAATAAAATCTGGAGGGATTTCTTGCCCAAACCTGCTGGGTTCCGAGATTTGTTCCTGAGTCTCTCTCTGTGATCATAGCCCTTAAGCAGCTTGATCAGGAGCCAGAGAGGTCGTTCGTGGGCGGTGACACGGGATCTTGTTGGGATGGGGAGGAAAGGGCCGGATCCATTCCCATCCTGTGAGGCCCCACGTGTCTCATCACCGGGGACCCAAACCTGACTGTCCAGTGGCCTCTGGAGGATGACGGCCACCAGGCCGCCAGGGGGAACAGGCCAAGGCACGAAACTTATTCCCACCTGGGGTGGCCGAGAACCGGTAACTTACTGCAGGGACCTGATGCATTTCTGCTAAAAGTCGTTGGATTTTGAGAATTGTTTCTGAGTCTCTAGGATCGTGGCCGTTAAGCAGTTCGATCAGGAACCAGAGAGGCCATGCCTCCATTTATAGCTGAGCAAGAGGTGGTTTGTGGGTGTGTCTCTCACATATCTAACTTTTGGCCGTTTACTTTCTTGGTAAACTTTGCTCCAATTTTTTGGGGTCTGTCCAAGAGCACAGCAGGAATTTGGGGTTATCTGGAAGTCTGAAGGTGCCATCAGGCTGCTGATGCACTTGCCTCACAGGTACACATTGACTTGCTGGTGGCACCATACCCCCCAACTCTGAATTTCTTAGAGGATGCCAGAAGTCTATCAGTAGTTAGGAATCTAAATATTTTCCTTAGGAAGAAAATCTACTTTACATATTTTCCATTATTTCTTCTCTACTATTTTGTTTTCTATTTTACAACTCTTTTATAAATCGATGGAATTAACAGCTACTAATTTTACACATACTTCAGAAAGAAAACCAGAGACATTTTGAATACCATGCTAAGTACTTTGCAAGGTATCAGACTATGCTCATAATACAAGGTAGAGTTATCCTCACTTTACAAATGATGGAGCTGAGACATATAGAGTTACTTTGTCTAGAGTCATATGAAGCTGGATCCAGTGGCAGAGTGGAAGAAAGGATTGTCAGACAGACACCCAACAGGTCTCTTCTCATTTCCAAAACATTGTAGGGAATGCTGCACTTTCTTAGCTATCCACTTCCTTCTCTCCCTACCATCACCACTAGAAGATAGTTAAGTGTTATTTTTCTTAGTGAAAAATAAAAGACTGTGAAGGGACAGATTTATATGTTAATCAAGTCTGTTCTATACTCAGAACATGTCAACTGTCTAGTTCTGAAAGTTCCTTTTTTTTTCTCTCCCAGCTATTGTAAACCGTGATGGCACCCGCTATATGCAGAAAGGAGAATATAGAACTAACCCTAATGACATCAACCCCAGCAGTGCTCCTGATGAAGACATAAGCAGTGGCTCCTCCAGCGAAAGAAGCACTTCAGGAGGTTACATATTCCACACCCAGCTGCCAACTACACACCCAACTCAAGACCAAGACGGACCCTGGGTGTCTCATTACCCAGAGAACACCCAGGCTATGAGTAAGGAGAATGAATCACTATACCTTCCAATAACCATTCTTTGGCAAAAATATCTGACCTTCCTAATGATCTACACTCTTGATGGTCTTATCTTGAAAAAATGATAATATCACTTAGGAAGATTGGATATTGTAGTGCTTGATATGAATTGACTTATATAATTTTTTTATCTTTAGATTACATGCCATATCGAAAGCTTTTAAAGAATTCCCTTGTTTCTTGTCTCAGGGATCTGGTGACAATTCAAATCTGAGAGATAAATGTTTTCACTTTTGCAATTATTCCTACTTGTCCTTATCTACCAGCTGATGAGGCGGTTCTATGTATGAGTACAATTCCATCTTCCGTGTTACATTCAGTCCTCATCATCAGCCATGATTTACTAAACAATCCCATTGTTAAACTCGAAAGAAACATAGCCGAAAGAGTCACTTGATCAAATTAAATCTTCTTACGAGTTTTATATTTTAGCCTGTAGGGAAGGTTTTTAATATTTGTCAGTGTATGGTAGTAATTTTTTGCTTTGGTACAAAAAGTCTGGGAACATGTAAACATTGCATTAGATTTCTTGGGGGTTTTGCCTCTGGTGCTGCACTATCGTGGGAAAGAATTTCCATCTCCCTCTTTTTTCCTGTGCTTCTCTCTTCGCATTTTTCCTACGGTTTGTTTTAAAACAGGTTTCTGGATTGGCTGCATTCTTTCTGTGGAAGATTATTCAAATTCAAATAAGGCAATGACTTCTTGAGTGAATTTCCTTATATGGTTTGAATTTTTTCATTTTCTGGCTGTGGTTCTGGTCTCCAAAGTGTATGGCAGAGAGTGACTAGTTTGTGAATATGTACAATGGGTTCTTTTCTATCCCTCATCACTCAGAAACCAGGGAAATCGTCACAATATTAATTTCATGTAGTTACTCCTCAGTAGTGTTTCAGATTTCCCTAAGCGACTTGCCAATTTGGTGAGACAGATAGCATTAGAATTCTGGTCATTCTCTACATGATAAAATATTTTAGTCCATAAAATATTTCACAGAGCAGCTGTATTAAAAGTGCCCTGGTAGAAGTGGGGAGATAGACTAGAGCAGTTGTCAGTTGTATGCAACTGACACGGGTTCACTGTCCAGCATTGCTTATGGGTCCCTAGCACCACCAGGAGTGATTCCTGAGCACATAACCAGGAGCAAACCCTGAGCACAGTTAGGTGTGGGTCCCCAAACAAAAACAAAATAAACTACCTTGCTTTCCCAGATTATTGAGATTCTGGACATTGTGTGATTTTTTTTTTGTGGTCTTTGGGACAACGCTATTTTTGTTTATTCATTGTTTGGGGGCTACACCTAATGATATTCAGGAGTTTCTCCTGGCTCTGCACTCAGGATTCACTTCTGGCGGTGCTTGACCATATGGGATACCGGGGGTCCAATCAAGTTGTCTGTTTGCAAGGCAGACTCCGTACTTGTTCTCTGACCCCAGAACAACCCTTCTTGAGAGAAACTTCTACTGTCCAGACAGGCAGTGTTACTGCTTACTGGTTGCCTCTTGAGTTTCCTTCCTTTTGAAAGTAAGCATTTTTAAGATGCTTTTTATCAAGGCATGTGATTTTGTCACATGTCTTAGCAGAATGCTTGATCTCAGCAGACAGTAGGTCCAGTCTACCCCAAAGAACCATTTTCCACCAAAGTCAAAAATCTTGACAAAATATATCTGTGGAATTATTATATGGAGTTAGCCTTCAAGTTATCAAGGTACTTTCAAGTTATTCAAATTATTAAGATACGTTTACATGTGCTTTATACAAGGCAATCGTATTTTTTATGATGTTTATATTGCATCTTTGGGAGGGGAGAGCAAAGGGTGTTGGGATATACCTAGGTCAGTCATGTCCAAGGCAAACACCCTACCTTGGTTCTATGGTTCGGGCGCCTATAATTATGTCATCTTTCAAGGCAAATACCTTTCAGCCTGAGTCAGTCAATAAACATATGCTGAAAAATTTTTTTATATAGAAGGTCTATTCTAAGGCTTGGGATTCATAAATAAGCAATATTAGAAAGTAATACTGAGGAAAAGTAAAAGATTTAAAAGAAAATTGTTCATTCAACCTTTATTTGAGGTCATCTTTCTGCCAGATATTGCTACAAATATTGGAGCCTTTATAGTGAACAGAAATTGAGGAAAATGGGTTCAGGATTCAGGATCGGTGTTGAGAAACACACTGTGTTTTCTTGGAAAATTTTGATTGCTTAGGTTTTTTTTAGTAGGTTGGAATGAGAGCACCTCATTTATCCACCAGTGTAAGTTCAAGGAGAATATGAAAAACATTAAAGTACTATAGAATTTGATAAGACCATCAGAACTTCCAAATAAATTGATTCATGCAAAAAAATTACCAAAATGAAATTATGGAAATTTAAAAGCGGTACATGGTGTACTAGAAAAAGTCCTTGAATAAAGGACATTTTCTCAGTCCAGGGAGGAGGCTCCCAAAACCTTATGAATGTTGGAATGAGAATTGGGATTTGATGGGAGGGACCGATTCTGTCCTAGAGCAAGCAGGGGGGCAGAGGTCAAGAGGAGGGCTGGCCGAGTACATGGGAGCACAAGTCTGTGACTTTGCTCATTCATTCCTTCCTTGAGAGTCCTTAGTGGGTTGCAGTAGGAAAAGCCTTGAATGGCCATCTGGTAGGTTTTGATTTCCAGAAGAATTTTTATTAAAAATGTTATTTTTGGAAGACTCTTTCTAGCGGGGTGTCATCAGCCTCTTTTTAATTGGTGATCTGGAATTCTTTGGAATCAAAAACCTAAACTAATTCAGGAAGCAGATTACTGCCTGGGAACACTCTATTTTCTTGTCTTCTGGGTGTCAAACAAATAGCTTCTTTTCAGTCTGGCATGGCTTACTTGGGTGGAGACAGTTGGAAACTGCGGGCGAGTTAGTAGCACTTTAATTTTCCCCAAATCTCACTTTTTTCAAAAGGAAAAATAATGCCTATTTCAATGTCATTCTTGTAGGGTGACTTCCTATTGGATTATAGGGTGTGGGTGACAGAAACCCTGCACCTTTAGTGAAATTTCTAAGCTGAGAATGGGGTCCCTCCAGAGGTTTGCTCAACTTTATTTGGGCATCACTTGTGAAATTAGCACCTTCCTCTCTACTCTCTCTTCTGAGCAAATATGTCCTTTGTAGTACAGAATGTATTAAGTAACATGCTGATGTTTGGTGTGTACGGAGTCAATGTTTCTAGCCTGGAATTATTGTTTTCCAATTGCTTTAGTGAAAGGACATAAGGAATTTAAGAGATACCTGAAATAATGTGAAAAACTTTAGAGTATACATATATAAGATTACTTTATTTGTGATTAGAAGTCTTATCTTGCATAGTATTTCCAAAAGGATATATAACTCATAATTCTTTTTAAAATCTTAGATGTTTATCTTAATGATCTTTTCCATTCTTCTACAAGGGAAACATCCTGGGCTCAGGTCCAATTTGAGAGTCAAATGAAATAGTTCAGATTGTAAAATATTACTGATTATCTAACTTGACTAGAATTGAGAATTTCTCCAATTTGGCAAGTTTTGTTTTTCTAGAAACATTTATAAGTAAAAGTAAAGGTGATAAAAAATGATAGATGGATACTTGAGAAAACTTTCTCTGATTTCAAGACTTAAAAAATACTCTTTGCAAGTTCCTATTCAAGTATAAAACTTAGAAAGTTTAACATGTGTGAAGAGAGCTTTAAACTACTGAAGTAAAATGATATAACAGAAATATAGAGGTAAATCCCTCTAAAGATATTGGCCAAATTAATTAAAACAACTTCATGAAATGCTGTCTCAAGGATCTGTATTGAGTTCATAGCCAGGTCATCCAATCAAATAAATACAAACTTTATATCTTTTCATCAAAGATTATTAGGTTGCTACTGGGTTTTGCTCTGAGTCTGTGTTCAAGGGGTTCAGTTTGAGTGAGTAGCTTTTAATTGATACCCGTGCAGATTTTCATTTCTGTTGTTCTATGAATCTAAGAGATTAGAAAGATAAACCTAGCCATCTTTTCCTCTTCTAGTTTGCATTATATAGTGAATACAATGTACATTGACCAAACTAAGAGTTAAAATTTTATTGAATGAGTTCACAAAATTTATTGTCACAATTGATTGTTACTTCAACTGTGCATTCAAACATCCATACAACATCTCAGGAACACATTAATTAAATTTTTTTTCTGACTGGGTAATTTACAGACTAAGATTCAGTATCAGAGAACACAACAACAGGTAAATTCTTACGTTTTATACGTGTCTGTGGTCCTGAACACCACGTCTTTGAGTGTTAAGGAAAGGGGCATCCATTGTCATGCCAAAATTTCTACACTGCTCCTTTACCAACCTTAGGGACATCGGGGTATACATTTCATTTATGGGTATGAAGACCTCCTAGAAACCCCACCTGTTTTCCTTTTGGCAACATGCATAGCATCAAGTATTTTTGTTTTTTGTTTTCTTTTTTTTTTTTTTTGCCTCAGAGTTTCAATCGTTGGAAAGTTTATTCAGAACATTTCCTCTATAAATAATAGAAACAAGTTCTCCCCTTAGAAATAGTAGAAATAAGTCTACTTTCTGTTAATGTAATTATCACAGTTAATAATAGTAGAAAGAAATACTTGTTTTTGACTGGAAACTATAGACAATTTGTTCTGTACCTAAAACCTCAATGATAAGTGGATGGGAATGTGATATGCTAGATTATGGTTTATGTCATAATCTAGACCCCTAAAAACATACCTGGAATTTTTTACTTTTATTTATCAATTCTTGAAATGTATTATTTTGACTTGAGAGGTTTTGTGGAGAAAAGAGTTAAACTCTGTAATAATGGGATATTGCAAGTATATATAATTATTACAAACTCATATTAGAGGCCAGAGCAAAAGTACAGCCAACCAGGGTTCAATCCCCAGCAACACATATGGTCCCCCAAGCACTGCCAGGAGTAATTCTTGAGTGCAGAGCCAGTAGTAATGTCTGACCATTGTTGTGGTGACCCAAAAGGCCAAAGAAACAAACAAAAAAACCCAAAAATCCCTCATCATGAGAGAAGAATATGAGCACAATTAAGAATAACTAGAATTCTTTCTATAGGAGATTAAGAAATGCTTATTTTTATTTGCTTAGTTTATAATATATTGAATAATCAATTTTGACAAAGATCAATGTAAAGAAAATATTTTCGATATGTTTACATATTAAGATGATTAAAATAATGCTAGAGTGCTGGAGAAAAAGCCAGAGAATGAGTGAGAGAAATATTGAAAGATAAATTATATTTTATTTTTTAAACTTGCGCGACATCTTATCAGGACATCTTTTTATGACATCTTATTATCTCATTCCTACTTTGGACAAACTTGCAGGTTATCGAATGTAGACTGCCCACAGGGCAGAGTCTGGCAAACTCCCCGTGGCGTACCAAATATGCCAAATACCAGTAACAATGATGGGTCTCATTCTCCTAAAGAGCCTTGAATATAATCTCAGGGCTAGGATGAAAGAGACGTTACTGAGGCCTGCTCGAGGCAATCGACGAATAACAGGATGATGAAATGAAATGAAATGAAAAAAACTTTGCAATATCTGAACAATATTGTGAAGGAAAAATTCTTTTCTAACTAAAGCGCTTCTCATTAATTTATCTTTGGTCTTTTTTGGTTTTCTTCAGAGCTGAGAAAATGGTGCATATTACCTTCATATTTGGAGATTCATGTTGGTTTTGATCTCTTCACTTGAACCTTTTTCAATTTTTGTCGACTGTAATCTTATATTCTTTGGATAAATATAATGGTTGCAGAAATGAAACTTTGGAAATCCTCATTAGGGTTCTTGCTTCTGGTCTTTTAGACTTGCTTTACTTTGGTTTGTGGGACACAGTTGGCAGTTCTTGGGGGCCATTTCTGGCTCTGTCCTTGGGGGTTACTTCCAGCAGTGCCCTGGGGATCATGCAGTACCAGACATTGAACCTGGGTATTGTACTTACAATGCATCCTCTCCAGGCCACTGAACTATCTCTCTGGCCTACTTAGTGAGATCCTTGGATTGCTTCATCTCTGTCTTCTCTTTTTTAAAATGGACTCAAAATATTCTGTTCTACCTTACAAAATATAGTGCTAATATAAAAAAGTGATCAATGCAAAGTTGCTAGAGAATTTTTTTTCTAAATGAAGAAAAGTGAAGGCATCTTTTTTAAAAACTTCTACTTTATGTTCATTATTCCCTGTGATTGGGATTTCTGGCAGAAATACAATATAAATTTTCAGATAATAATATTGGATTGCCAAGATAAAATGTTAGCAGATCAAGAGCTAGGACTCCAAAGAGCTAAATTTTAGAGAAAGACTCTCAGATTTGAAGAGGATTTTAAATAATCTCATTCAATCAACAGTTTTAATCATTTTATCTCACACACAGTTTTGTTGTTAAATAATCTTTCTGATGGTGGATAACATAATACTATATAAAGAAGCCCATTGTTGTATTGTTTGGTTTATTACTTTCTAAATCCAACATGGAAGAATAGTCATCTCACTGAAATTCTTACCACAGGTCATAGTTTCACCGTTTGGAAGGACAGATCAAAATTTAATCCCTCTTTTATATTATGGTGTTTCAAAATTCAAAAGCTATCTTTCATTCTGTCCTCAGGAACTCTGTTGTTTAGGCTTTCTTATTCAGACAAGCCAAAGTTTTTCAACACAATTTTTTTAATCTTCAAGAAGAGGAATATGAACTATGATATTTAAAGTCCTTTATCTCTGATACTCTATGAACTCTAGTCTGGGCCTCTGAAAGAAATATAATGTGCTTTTTATATTTCTTTACACTATCTATATCAAGTATAGATGATTTTCTTGAGTAATAAAAGAGAGAGTATAAGCAATGCAATTTCCTTGGAACTGGTAATTAACTTTTCAACAATCAATTCAATTATGGTTACAACAGCTTTGATGGGCACTAGTGATTCAACTTCCAAAACAACAGCCAAGAGACAAGGCGCCCAAGATTGGTTTTCTTGGTGGTTTCAGCCCACAGAGGACAGGAATCATCTTCACACAACAACAAATATGGCTGGTAATAAGTTCTGGTTATCCTCATTTCATAAATTTTCTTGACAATTTTAAGGAATTCTCACTGATCTCTGGAATTTTTGTTAAAGTCTAAAATCCTTTGTGAGGGGACTGTAGCAATAGCACAGCGGGTAGGGCGTGTGCCTTGCGTGCGGCAAACCTGGGTTCGATTCCCAGCATCCCATGTGGTCCCCTGAACACCACCAGGATTGATTCCTGAGTGCAAAGCCAGGAATAACCCGTGTTCATCATCGGGTGTGATGCAAAAAAAAAAAAGAAAATTGTCCTTTGGGAGGTCTGAAGTGCTAGTCCAGTGGGTAGTGCATTTGCCTTGCACATAGTCAATCCGAGTTCTATCCTTAGCATCCACTATCATTCCCCAAGCACCGCCAGGAGTGATTCCTGAGGACAGAACCAGAAGTAAACCCTGAGCATTGCTTGGTGTGAATAAAGGCAAAAAAATTTTAAAAATATAAACAGTCCTTGGATTTCGCAAGTATTTTTTAAAAACTAAGATTTGAGATGTATGTGTTTGGTTCTAGTAAAGGTATTTCTTCTCTCTATGGAATTAGCATAGCCTTAGAGAGTAAGAATACTGCAAAGAGGCCAGGATTTTCTTAATGGCAATACAATTTTGACTCTAGAATGTAGTCTAAAATGACCAAATTCATATAAAGTTCTTGAATTTTCATGACAGAATAAATGGCATAGCTAGTGTTAGTATAGCAAGCTTCCATCAGTGCAATTCTTCTTGGGTTAAATACAAATAGTATTAAAAAAAGACAGATAACCATTTTAGAAAATGGCATGAATCTCATTCGAAATGTAGGAAACCACTTAGCAGTAAAGATAAATATTTTGCCACAACCATTGAGAAATGGTAGAATATCTTTCCATCTCCTCCTGTCTGTTGTGTATTCAAAAGGAAAAAGTGAGACTTTCTCCAAGTCTTGGACACAGTCCATTATGGTGAACTTTTTTGGTTGATTAATAAGTTCCTGGTGTGATGTTTGATTGTTTTTTCCTCTGTAGTAGGTATTTCTGGGAATTAATCTGTAGTCTCCATTTACATTCAGAGCTACAGCAATCTGACATTAAAGAGGATAAAAAATGAATTGGAAAATTGTGACTGCAATTACGGAATTATAGAAATTGTTGACAGGGGTTAAGTTTCAAGAGTTTCTTTAAGGCTGTCTTACAGAGCAAATAGACACATGTGAAATTTTATTATATTCCATTAGAGGAATATGCTTACATTATAGTAAATGCACCTGAAATCATGGGGCAGTATTTATTAGCCTTGTTTCTCCTCTTTGGCAGGGTTATGTCTATGTATATTATTTTTGCTCAGCTAAAGAGAAAAGTTCAGCCATAAAGATAACAGCCAATTATGTTGTGGTCTATAGACAGACTTCCGCATATATGAATTTGTGATATTCAACTTCTAGTCAAATCTCTCAATTTCTTATGACTTTGGGAATTCTATTACACAATTTGTGCCTGACTTTTTTCCTTTGTCAAATGGGTTGCATTAGCCTCCTACTCAGGCACTAATGCAAGTCACCACAACAGGTGCAAATTCAAATATCACCCTAGCAGGCCGGGACCCCATTGAAGAAAATGAAGATGAAAGAGATAAACACCCCAGTTATTCCGGATCAGGCATTGATGATGATGAAGATTTTGTCTCCAGTACCAGTAAGATAATCAATTATAGTAGAACCATTTATGCAAGACTTACCAATTAATCTGAGTGACACACAATAGTAATTCTGTTGGAAAATAGATAATATGAAAATGAGTATGATTGTGTGATCAGACTTTTAATAGTACTTTAATGAGATTATAAAAGAAGAAATAGATTTGTTTAATGCAAAATCATTTAAAAGAGAAATGAGAAAGATCTCTCTAAAATTCCTAATACCTCATGTTCTTGCTTTTCTGCTTGTTTATATAGTCTTCTACTACAGATACAGTGTGAATTATTGAGGCTTGTCAGTGACAACATAGTGAAATACTTAAAAAATATTCACTGTATTCCTACCTATTATTTTTAGGGAACACAAACATTTTAGAACAAAATTTAAAAAAAAACGAAACTCCTGTCTTCATGGAACTTATGTCCTATAGAAACAGTAAACTTGAAAAATATCATTAGAAAGATATTAATTGGTGTAGATGATTCTAAATTAAAGGCTAAGAAAGGCTTAAAAAATCTCTAGTAGGGCTTAAATGATAGGAATCAGGATTCAAGAACTGTCTTAGATAATAGCTATTTGAGTCTAAAGAACAAATCCAAAGTTTTAACAAGCAAATAGGGCATCAGTATAACAAAAAGACACTTAATAGAAGGACAAAAATAATGCAGCTACTAAAAACCAACAGTGATACCATTGCACAATAGTATCTGATTTCATGACAATTTATAAAACTTTTGGGAAAGCAGAACTGGAATCAGATCTGTAAAATATCCTTAAAATACAAAGACTGGGCTAATATTTTGCCAGATGTCTGAATTTCTCATACTGACCTAAGATATTACTGAGCCAAGATGAAAATGAATCTTGGACCTAACTTCACTGAAGTTCTGCTTTTCCTTAGAGGAGATGTATCTTAGAGAAACTGCATGAGCTGTCTTAGGTTACTGAAGTTCCTTTGCTGCTATTAGAACTTGTAACTCATCTTCAGAGGGATAAAACTCAAGAAGTAAAAAGTTCAATATGTAGTTAGGTCTTGAAACATCCTAGTTTATGGCATTAATAGAGCTCAAGATAATCTAGATGATCTAATTTTTTATTTTTAAGTAGTCTACTACTTAGTCTGGATACCCCTATTTCAGAGATCAGTGTATATATTATGCAAGATATTTTTAATAATTTTATAAAGAAAATAAAATATCCCAAAAACTAGATCTACATTACTATACTCTCTCCACCAATAAAGATGTATTCTTGATAATTGAGTATTTAAATTTTCTTGACTGGAAAACTAAACAGATCAATCAGGAACTAATCTATACAATCAAACTTCAAATTTCAGGGAAAAACTGATCTTGGCATTTTTCATTTCTGTGATTTTTTCTCTTACTTCCATTCATCTTCCTGGTCACTGTGCATAAAATTCAGTAGGATGCTCTTTTTCTTAGGGGTACGATAACTATCATTTTTCATTCTCACTGAGAGTGTGGTTCATGATTCTAGACTTGATTTTCTTCTCTGTGAAATAGAGCTGGTAGTACTAATTTCTCCAATAGATTTTCTATTACTTTAGTATCAAACACAAACTTTAGTGAATTTGAATGGATTTCAAAACATGAATTGGTTCTGGTTTTGTCTTGATCCTTCTGTCAGATGCATCTGCTGTTCCATCCCTGTTTTTCTGGCTGACAGCATTAGAATACTGGTGGATGTGTGACTTTTATTTCCTATGAGCTGTTGGGATGGTGGTTGGTTACCTCTGGTGTCTTTCTACTGAATGTATATATAAAGCTTTAATTTTCTTTTGCTGGCTGTGAATCACATACTCATGAAATGCTTTGTATGTGATGAGAATAAATAACATAGGCACTTGCTGGATATTAGAAATGTAGAACTAAATACTATGGCTCTTATATAGGTAGATATTTTTCTTAATATCACCTATTGGAAAGCTCTGACAACTCAAGATGTTTCTCTCCCATCAGAACTGCTAATGACATGAAGTGATATGTCATGAGATGGTGTAACTTTCAGATGTCTGTCTTTTCAGCTTGAGGATATAGTACACTTACGAATGATCTCAGTATCATGGGCTTTCAAATGTAGAGGGCTGTTACAGTCTGTGTTGGGTGCGGATCTCTGACATCTTTGTTTTTGTTGGTGGAGGACTGGTGTTTTCAAAGTTGTTATTCCTCCTTCCTCAGCTTCTTCAACTGCTTTCTCCAGATCTCATGCTCTGACCCTAATATATTTGGTGACAATACAAAGGGCACTGAGATATAATAACAACATAGCTGAATCAAGTGAAGATACTTTGCTCTCATTCCATTTCCTCTCAACTATCTATACAACTTGGTATAGATGACTCGCTATATAGACTAAAGAAGGACAAATTATGCAAAAGAGATGGTGAAGGCTCAAGAAATAATATTTTTTTCTAATCACTTCAATCATCGTTATCACAGTTTCAACCACAACACGGCTTTTTAACTACCCAAATCAGAAACCAGATTGGACTCACTGGAACCCAGATCAATCAAATTCAGATGTATTACCTCAGACAACCACAAGGATGAATGGTAATGGATTATGTATATATGTAAAGATTTTTTTCTCTCAAAGTTTATGATGCTGCTGATACTCAATCATCAGGAGTCAGAAGGAAACTTAGCTAATATCTCATAATAATTCCTGGCGAGCTTTCATGAGCATATTCAGTTTGACTCAGGAGTTTATTTACCAATTATACCATCTAACCACAAGATATTTCACATTGCTTCAATATAAAAATGATTATGTTAAAATATTTCATGGTCCCTTCCTTGAAAAGTGATTTTAATGGAATAACAAATAATAGATAAGGAATTCCATGCTCATGGGGTTTTTTTTTAGGACAGATTAGTGAAGTCATCCAAAAGTATTGAGGTTGAAACTCAATTTAGGTACTATTTAGGTATTTAATACATTAAATATCATGTACTTTAATGGAAGAACAGAATCATCAAAAGTTGATTGATTAAAAAGTCACAATGTGTATATAACCATCATCATGACAGATGTTAACAGAAGTGGTACCAGTGCTTCTGGAGAAAACTGGACCCAGGAAACACATCCACCTCTCATTCACCATGAGCATCATGATGAAGAGGATACCCAGCATTCTACAAGCACAAGTAAGAAGGATGGCATCAGAAGTTCTCATTTAGACGAGTTAGTGAAGTCATTCCAAAGAATAGTGGAGACATTTGATACTGATCACATCTATTTTCACATCGTAATTTCCTCTATTCCCAGACCATAAAATGATACCAAACTGTGCATAATTTTTAGAACTTGGAAGAAAAGTATTAAATTATCTGCTTTCCCAAAAGGTCAACATTTTTGCAATGTTTTAAAGTGGCTTTATTTTAAGCTAATGTGTTTTAAAAGATGAATACAGATTTTGTGTCAACAATCTCTAGCAATTTTTGGTAAATCTGCCAAATTCCATTTGGGTGATATGTGTGTTTATGGAAATATATGGTAGAGTGTTCTTTTGTTGCTCAGTAGTGAAAATTGGAAAAAAACTTGACAAATACAATAATCTTTGGAATTCCTATTTTCAGTGAAGATACCTGAATAATTCAGCTTCTTTTTCACTACAGAGTAGAAAGGCATCTCTTACAGAGTTTGGAGAAAATTCAATAGCTAATATGCTCTATATTTGAATTCTGTGCCTTTTTCTGTTTTTATGCTTAGTATGACTTGGGAAGACTGATGCTATTATTTCTTTATGTGCAAGCACCCCAGGTTTTCCGTATGACAATCTTAATTCTCACTTCTGAACTTTGAGAATTATACCCCCTCCAAAGTAATAAGCACACATTCTTGTTTTCATCTGTCTCTCAGAGAGATGCCATTGCACTTGAAATAAAAGAAGTTTTAATTTAGGACAACATCTTGTGACATTTTTAATACTATGGCCCAGTCATCGTTCTTATAGCCATGACTACTTCTAAAGGGAGAGTGCAAGAGACAGAAGTTAAAAGGTTTTGGAAGTCCATGTCTAGAAAATGCCTCAGACATCAGTCAAGACTTAAGTTAATAATCCTGAGCCTTGTACTAAATACTGAATACATGTGAATCTACATGTCATTATTACCCCCTCTCACCCCCAGTAGACTTCAAACAGCATGAGGACTATGGTTGAGTTAAGAAGTGTTTTCAGATAAAAGGAATAAGAAGCCTATGTCTCTTGAGGATGAGATTCTGTACCAATTTCCTTTGAGTCCTAACTCAAAGAAAGATTTGAATATATCTTAGAAATTATTGGATAGTTGGTGCATAAGAGGCAGAAAACTACTGGAGAGATTTGGATTTCTTGAACCTACTGTCAAAGGTGGGAGGTGGGAGGGTGAGACAGGAAGGTAGTTGAAATCCTGAACATAATAAAACTTAGCAGAGGAAAAGCAGCAGTAATTCTGCGACCAGTACCTGCCAAGTAGAAGGAGGTTTTGGCTGGAGACCTCTGAACTTTACCAAAAGAATGGTATGATTCACAGAATAGAATCAATATGAAAATTTCACCGGAAAGTTCTAAACTTTGCAAACCCATATCCTGTATTTTGGTGGGCAGAGGGGGTATTTAGGGAATCATTGTGTTTATGAAGGTATTGCTAGAAGAAGTATAGAGGAGGAGAAAGAGTTGTAGTATTAGAAGTAGTTGTAATAGTAATAATGGCAGTAGTAATAGTAGCTATAATAGCAGCAGTTGCAGCAACAATAGCAGGAGTAATAGAAGTGGTAGAAGTTCGAGTAATAGCAGCAGTAATACTAGCTACAGCAGTAGCAAGAGTAATAGTAATACAATTCATTTGGATTAATTTATGTTTTTTGAAATTATACTCAGTGGTTTTGTAATTTTATTATTTGTCAGGAGATAGTAATTTAGTCAGTAGATAATAAAGCTTAATATTTGAACTTTTTCTCCATTTCTCTTGATAACAAGTTACCCGCAGCAATGTTGGCCAATATAAGGGCAAATTCCAAACAAGAAGCTTGCTTTTAAAAATATCTGTTATTATTAAATCATACATATCAATTTTCTAGGATAATAAAATACAGTCTACAAGTAGCAAAAACAGCATGGCAAGTTAAAAGACTCATTTTCTTGATGAACTAACAATTTCCTGTGAGTTGAAACTAATGAATATGACAACGACTTTCTGATTTTTTTTTCCTAAAGCATCCTAATAGATTTTTATTCCATCAATTTTGTTCTTATAAAAGCTGGACAGTTGCATTGTCTGGTAGGAATGTTAAGCCTTTCACACTGCTGTTGTTTACATGGTCCCAAACACTGATTGGAATGGTTTTTCTCCCATTGAATTGATTTTGTTTTTTAAAAAAACTAGTTTGGGCAATTTCGATACCACAAAAACTCAGTCTTTTAAAATGTCAGTGGAGGAGCATTTCAGAAAGTCCACTATCTTTCATTGTGCCTGCTGTTTAAGTACTGCAATCATGGAGATGTGACCATTCTAGAAGATTTCCTGTGACTTCCCTCTTATAGTCCATTGTTATATATTATATTACTTTCCTCCAAATTACTGGAGCAAACAGGTTAACTCTTTGAACAAACAATTCTCTCAGCATATCTCTAAAAATATAAACTAATACTGGTAAGTAGTAGGCCGTGCTCTAGTCCCCACTATGGCTTGATTTTCAGAGAACCAAAATTTCCTCTGGGTGCCAGTTTTCCATATGCAAAACAGAAGGACTAACCGTTTGATTTCTAATATGTCTTTCAAATTTCAGTGATCTGACTGATTTCCTTTATTACCTTCTATCCTGTGTATCTGTAACCTTAAAACAGGAAGGCTTATTGGTGAGGAAATTGAACAATAATAGCTCACAACTGGCATTCTTCTCACAGCCCAAGAAACCCCTAGTAGTGCTACGGAGGAAACAGCTACCCACACAGAGCAGTTTGAGAATGGATGGCCCGGGGAGTATCCCCAGATGCCAAAAGAAGACTCTCACTCAACACCAGGGACAACTGGTAATGAATGATTTTACATGCAAACTGGGTGGAAACTTCTTTGGTGAAACACCTGGTATTGAGGACTCTGAACAAAAAGACAGAATTGTCATAAAATACTATGTTTCACCAATAGTTCATATGTGGTTAACATGGAGGCAGTTCTAAACTGTACATGACAAATCACCTGAAGCACATAAAGGAGACCAAAGGGACTGTGTCCTTGAATATGTCATTTTCAGATTTAGTTTTGAGCATCCCCAGTAATATTATAGCAGAGACTTTAATCTTCTGAAATACTCCCTTTTATTTTATAAAGAAAAAGACTCTATGATGTGTGTCCAAGCTTTACAGTATACTTCTCTGAAATACTGGGCTTGTCAGAAAATAAGTGTTCGGTCAGAACCCCAGTATTTGAAGAAATAGAGCCAGGCATTTTGAGAAAATGATTCTTGTTTGATGTCCTTTGACCCTTTTGTCAGGTCTGCTTGCTGGTTTCTCCCTGGAATATACAATGTTTTGTCTCTTGGTTCTACCCCAAAAAGGGCACTTTCTTTATCCTTAAATTGTGGGTTTGTGGAAATTGAATTCAAGTTCTTGTCATCATTTCTGAGTAATGACATTTAACTTGGCTCTGCAAACTTCTTTGCATGTTCTATTGTTTGCCTAAGAGAAGCATTGAAGTACATTCTGCATTGAAATGAAACACAAATTTCATCTTTTGATTTAGTATCGATGAGAAATATTACCACCTTTTTATTTGCAAATAGAACATGATGCATAATGTCCTTCTAGTGCATAGCATTGCTGAATGCATTTTTGGCAAAGCAGTGGTTTCAGTGATTGACTCTGTAATGTAGATGTTGCTAAGGTGCTATGCTGTAATTTCTTCTACCTGTACTTCTCCATTAGCTCAGAATGAAGCTAAAGACATGGTTAACATTCTTTATATGCCATCTACATCATAAATCTCTTTGTTAGAAAGCAATTCTTCCAATGGATTCCATTTATCCTTTTGAGGTGAATGGTCTTTAGTTTTATACTTACCTCTTTGGAAACTGTCATCTGATTCTTTCTCTAAATCACCACTGACCTAATATGCATTTCACTGGGATGTGGTTGTTTCAGAATGACATATGCTTGGACTGGTGGCGGTATGGCAGGGGCCAAGAACTACTTCTCTTTTTTCTTTACTTGGTGTCTGTAACTCATCCACTATCCACTGGTGAAGGTACTGATGATTTTGTGTACTCCAGTTCACATGCTGATGATAAGAATGGGAATAAATCCACATCTTTTAAAGCATTCTGCACTTATGCAACTTCCTGGCCCTACACAGGAAGATGGTTATGTTGTATAGAGAATAAAAACTTCAAATCAGCATGTCTCTGACCAAATGTCAACTAATGCTTTGATAATTGCTTGAACTACATGGTCACAGCAGCCTCAGCCCATGACAACCACCCAGATCAAAGAATGACAACACAGAATCCAGAGGATAGTTCCTGGACAGATTTCTTCGACCCAATCTCACATCCAATGGGACAAGGTCATCAAACTGAAAACAGCATGGGTAATAGCCTCTGAGATTTTTTGTTCTGTGATATTATTTTGAAATATAGCCACTGAATGGCTAGATTCCTTAGAAATAGGTCCCTGATTGTACACCTGTCTACTTTTCTAAGGAACTGGAATTTCTGTGAGATGGAATTAACATGATCATTTATCTGAATAGGAACTCCTGGTCTGACATAAAGAATTTGGCAAAAAAGGGATTAAAGAGGAATTATTAATCCTTATATGATGGGAGTGGAAATAATTTCTTTTAAAAAAAAAACAGCAGTCTGTAGACTGCTTTTTTTTTTTTACCACTTTTAAGTACATGTTCAAAAGAGTGAAGTGATGGATCTAGTGACTATTTCCACTGTCACTAGATTGTCACTGTCCAACTTTCTTATTTGGGGCTGGAGCAATAGAATAGCGGGTAGGGCATTTGCCTTGCATGCGGCCGACCTGGGTTCAATTCTCAGCATCCCATATGGTCCCGCAAGCACCTCCAGGAGTAATTCCTATGTGCATGAGCCAGAAGTAACCCCTGTGCATTGCCAAGTGTGACCCAAATTTCAAAACAAAAACAAAAACTTTTCTTATTTACTCTTGCCACATTTAAAGGTAAAAAGGCTGCAATATTATACATATTTATACATATATACATATATAGTATATATATATATGGATGGCCACTATATATATGGATGCCCAGTATTTCTCAGTATTCCCAGTATTTCTCAGTATTTCTCAGCATTTCAGTGTTTTCTAGCTTGATCTTGAACTGATTGAGTCTCTTCACAAGCAGTAAAAGGGTTGGACTTTCTAATGGAAACCTATCAGTGATGATGACTATGAATTGTTCAGTCTCTACTTCACTCAGGATTTGTTACTTCGGCAGAATCAACTTTTAATAGTTATTAGAAGCAATATTTATATATATTTCAGTGAAATATCTATACCACTTAAAAGTTTTTATGTTAATTGCAAAGTTTCCTCATTCTTGTTTATAGGGAAAATGATGCACTTATATCCTCGTCTTATTTCTTGCTCCTGAATTATTCTGATAGCCTCCATCTTTTATTATAGCTCCATGTTCTGTTTGCGCATTCACTTTGTGATGCAAAAAAGGAAACTAGTTAAGGGAAAAGAATTGTTAAAAAAAATAAAAGGGAGGGGGGGCTGTTGAGTAAGGGAAATATGACAAAATAGTATCTAAACCATTTCTTTCCTCTTTGTATCAGGTCACATATATCTCTAAGAAAGCACATGGGTTACATCTCTGTAAAGTTTGGGAGACTGTCACATGCTTATTTTGACCCTATTCAGATTTAGCAAACACAAATGAAAATCATGATTTTCATCTAACTTAATCCATAAATGAAAGTTATTTCTTTCTTTTGAAAAAGTGATCATGTATTCCAATTCTAAAGACACGAGTCAGCATTTTCTTCCTTCTCCCTTACCCAGGGTTGAATATAAAAATAATTTGTCTATAAACCCTAAACCATCAAGCAAAATCAAGCAATAACACTGATTTAATTCCCTCAGATATGGACTCCAGTCATAGTACAACGCTTCAACCTTCTGCAGATCCAAATGTAAATTTGGTGGAAGATTTAAACAGGAAAGAAACACTTTCCATCACAACTCGTAAGGATAATGACTCTCAGGCATTTCTTTGACTTGCGTTCCTTCTTCATTTCTTGTTTATACTGTGCCTGTGCAGAGCTTGGTGATGGAATGGTGTTCTTGGTGCTATGTGACTCATCCCAGAGTATAAAGTCTCTCTTTGTTATCTTCATTTTCATGATGGGGTTCTTAAAATCTGATTTTACTTCTTTTTTGCTGTTTTCCAGATCCAATGAATTTATGCTTAAAAAATTAGGATGTAAGGGCCAAGAGACAGTACAGGGGGTAAGGCACTTGCTTTGAAAGCAGACGACCAGGATTTGATCCCTGACACCTCATATGGTCCCCTGAGAACCACCAGGATTGATTCCTGAGTGCAAAGCTAGAAGTAACCACTCAGCATCGCCAGCAAACAAATAACTAAATGTTATTCCATTCAGTTTGGTTTTCCTTTTTAAAGCAGTTTTATCACAACCTAAGACCATGGTTAGTAAAGTGGTTTTCCTATGTTTTAAAAGAGCATCTCTTTTAATTTTTAACTTTTTGCTAAGGCATATTAGAAGTATGGTGGTCTAATAGTTATAAAGTGACATTTTAAAATAGCTAATCATAGAAAGTAGGAAATTCATGTTAGTCCATAGAAGATGGAAAAGTCGTGTTAACAATCTACAAGATTATAGGACCCAGGAAAGAAAAAGGAACTCTTGCTAATATCTTTTAAACTAAGTATATGGTGGAAGCAATGCTAAGCTTCTAACAGAGTTAATATCTACCCTAAAAATCACCGAGTAATCTTAGAGAACAAAGATCATTTTTTATTTTATTGACAGAATATAAGATAAATTTAGAATTAAGAGGACATCATTTTATTTCTTGATGATCATAGTGAGCCCTTTAAGACCAAAGGGAGTCTGTGTGGGGGGGCGGGGGGGGCAGTAAGCTTGTGTTGTTTATTAGCATTGTAATACCACAACATTAAACATCAAAGGAGATAAGCATAAGAATGTTCTGCAGAGGATCTTGTGCTATTTTATGTCCCTGTTGACTTATGCTCTGAAGTTAGGATTGAGAATTGGTAACTATCTGTCTTCTGGCTGTTCTGTGTACTTGGTGATGGATATGGCTCCTGGGCTTGCTATCTGGAGTCCTTGTACCTGTAACTCAGAGGTCAGTACCTATCTTAGAAGAACACAATAGAAATTAACTAAAACATTTAAAGTGATTTCAAATGATGGTTCAGACTCAACTGGACGTATATCTGTGATAGGCCTGTATTTGCCCAGGCAAGTACTTCTGGCATTTCAGCATAATGAGAGAATCTTTAATCCACATTCAAGACCAAAAAACTAATAAAAGAGTAAAATAGTAATTTAATTTAATGTTCTTGAAAGGGACTAATTTCTTCATAAAACTTTGATCTGAGTTACCTGAGCTTGTGAGTCTAGATGAGCCTCTTCCTTCTATGTGGCTACAGATATGCTATCTTGGTGTTTATTTTTCTTCATCACACTGTGGGCTCTTGGTTGTTAGTAAAGACTCTGGGAGTCAAACTTTTCTTTTTTTTTTCCTGTCTCTGTGACAAAAATCTGGCCCAGGTTTCACCATGGTATTTTGTTGATTAAACTTTTTTATAAGGGCTTAGGAATCAAATAGAAGTATTTTGTGTATTTCAGTCAGAGGAGAATATGCAAGCCTTAGTGTTCTGTGCATCTATTTTCTTGACACTCCACTAGTTATTTCTGTCATGTCAACAAATAACTTGAATATTTATTTCATGGATTCATATTAACGATGACTTCATTCCCCATTGAAACAGAGCAGAATCCTGCTCAGAGCTTCTCCACATCACATAGTGTCTTGGAAGAAGATAAAGACTATCAAGTGACTTCTGCTCCAACATTTAGCAGTAAGAATTGTAAAGCCTAGTTGGTGGTGGCTTTAGCTATTAATAAAAATCAATATGTTTGGGGTGTTTTTGTGATGTCTCAGGTGGAGGTAAATCAGTCAGCTGCTTTTTGCTATTGCTTCAGAACAGAAGGTATAGCTGGTGGTGGTGTTCTGCTTTTTCTCTTTTGTACACCTCATAGAACTCACTGTACATTAAAACAATCTTTTTTTCCCATATACTACTTAATCTTCATTTTCTCTAAGCTCTAGAGTTGGTGAGTTGGCTTAAAATTTTGAAATTTGCTTATATATAAATTATAATTGGGGTAAAAATCTGAATTGCGTAACTCTTTTCTTTTACCCTTGCATTGATAATATTATTTTGTCATTTATCCTCTGGACCATAAATCACAGTGGTAGTGACTTAAATACTGCCTTTCTGACAAAAGAAAGAATAATCAAAGCCTCAGGAGGTCTTTTAAATCTTGCATTTGTTATCCCAATTGTAGGCAGAATAATGTTACCATTTAATTCAGTGTTGTGTTTCCTCCATTTCATTAAAGATGGGGCCAGCTGAGAATTTGAGATTATCTAGTATGTGAGTTGACTTGGGTATAATTGAAATGGTACAGACTTTATGTTAATAACCCAGGCAGATGTTGCAACAGATGAACAAATGTCTCTTTTGGGTATTAAGGATCACCAAAATCTATTCTGTTGAGTGATGTCCAGGTGATGCAATGACAAAATATAAATTTCTGTAGCATAGCAAATCACACTGTCTTTTGCTCCACATTCACAAATAATACAATGATTACATATTCTGAAAATAAACATATAATGGATAGTGGTCTTATAAATGCGAGTTTATCATTAACTCCACCTCCACACAGCTAATAATGATGGTAAAGATAGATGGGAAGGTGAAAATCATCCTCAAGATTCAACTACTTCTCTGGAAGGTTACACGTCTCATTCCTCAGACACAAAGGAACACGGGACCCTTGTCCCAGTGAGCCGTGCTGAGACTGTGGCCCCTGAAGTGACTGAAGTTAGTATTGTTGGAGATGTCAACTCTAATGTTGATGGTTCTGTATCAGGTAACTTGGTCATTTATTATCTGGTTTGCTTTCTCTATGTAGGGGAGGAAAATGCAATCCCTATATAGCAAGGTGCATTTTGGGTGTGGATTGTGGTTAGAATGATTGGTAAATGACTTTCTCTGTTTGTCCTAGAGTAAACGAACTTAAATCTAGGTAAATGATATTTTCATTTGTCAGTATAATATTTATTTATGTATTAAAATTTATTTTAGTGACCTTGGTTTACAATACTATGAAGGAAAGGGTTCCTTGTATACAGTGTTCCAAACTTATACCCACCACCAGAGTTGATAGAGTCCCTCTGCAATTGTCTAGGAGTTCTTTTCTGAAACTTCCCTCTTTTCACTGCCATCTTCCTGCCATAGTAAGCTTAATTCTGTCAACTATTTATTTTTGTGACTTGGTTGTTATGACAGAATTTCTTCTTTGTTCCTGGGCTTATGACATACTAAATTGAACCATATAAGATCAATATTTTTTGTTCAAAGTATTAAGCTAAGTATTAACAATAATTTCACTTGATTAAACTAATTTATCCTGTCATATTTGTAAGGTTTTTTATGAATATTTTTCTATGTATTGAAAAACACTTTACTCTTTCATTGGTGATGGATTGGTGAGTTTTAGTTTTGGTGGTGGGCTTGTGGATATATCTCTTCTAATTGTGCACCCTTAAAACTCTATGCTTTAATCTGTCCATGCAAGAACCTTTTCTCTTAATGTAACAGCAGAAGAATGACTGAAGATGACTTAGTTGCTCAAGTTTGACATGGACCTAGAATAAGTCTTTTCAGATAAGCAGATTTCTCTAATTCTGCTTTTCTTGGTTTCTTCATTTGCACTAGAAACTTATATTTTAAAAAAATGGTGACTGGGAAATACCCTGGTGAAGAAAATATTCTTCTCTTTAGTTCTTGTGATTTAAGCATTTCTTACCATCCAACTACTAAAGCATATGAAAGACAAAATAAAATATATATCTTAAGTCACTCATATGTTCCTATATCTAAATTTACATCTAAGCTCTTTTAGCCATTCAGCTACCTCCTCATCCCTCTGTGCCCCCGCCCCAAAGAGAAATCTTCATACAGTAAATAAAGTAGAAGACAACTGTGAAACTTTCAGTGTTATGGGGATGGAAAATCTAGACATCAGTATTTCATCTCTTTCCTCCGGGACCCATTGCAAGTCTTCCAGAAAATAGAGTTTGAAATCTTACACCCTTTGGTCCTTTATAGCATTGGTCTACTCTCAGATACTAAAAATCCAGGTAGCATGTCTGTATCATTCTAGAGAGATAGATATTAGAATAATGCCTAGTTTATTTTCACAAAATTGGGGCTTTGGGACTGAAGATGCAGCTCAGCACTTAAATGCATGCTGTGCCTTGTATACGTGAGTCCTGGGTTTGATCTCTGGCTACACACGTACACACATACACTGATTCTCTCTCTCTCTCTCTCTCTCTCTCTCTCTCTCTCTGTGATTAAAGCTAGAGCAATTTTTTAATTTAAAGAACTTTAATGAAAATGGAAATTTTAATCGTTTCAATATTCTAGAAGTATTATACAGTAGAGTTGTTAATAAATAGAATGCTTTTTAAAATTTTAAAAGTTCTACAGATTCTAAGGTACAGATTTTCCATGATTTGCTGTGGATTAAGTGGTTACTAACTCAGGTGACTCTCATCCCTTTCTTTCTTCCAAAACTCTCAAATAAGAGTTATTATTCCTATATATTTTAATTTTTTATGCACTGTGTAAAAGTTACAATGTTTGTAATTGTGGTGGTGGTGGTGGCGGTGGTGGTGGTAATGGTGGAGTGGTGTTGATATTGGTGTTGGTATCTCAGAAAATTACTTTTTCGCTTTTTCTAATCATCAACCAAGGAACAAAGCAATCTACTTCTTCTAAACAATTGCATGAGAGGTTATCTATCTCTGTTTTCTTTAATTTAGGAAGCTATACTAGCCTGCCATTGCACATCCCATATAGGTACCTTCATAGTGGGTGATTATGGCATTTTATAAACCATTTTATAAGACCACACCCCCACAGGAACAGGGTGTGGCCCACACCTGCCAGTGCTTGAGGGCTACTCCCAGCTCTGTGTTTGGGGGTCACTCCCTGAAGTTTGTAGACCATGGAGTGCTGGGAATGAAATTAAGGCCTGCATGCAAACTGTTTGCTCAGCCCTTTGAGCAATCTCTCTAGCCCAGCCTGTGATTTTCTTTTAAGATTAGAGATAGTTTCGGAAAACATGTGGAGAAGAGAGTGAAGAGTAGGAACTTCTATATGCTGAGTCTAACATTTGGTATGTAGATCCAGATTTAGCAATTTAAGAACCAATCTCAATCTAAGGCCATGTAGTAAGATAATAGTCACTTTGGGTGTTGAAAATACTGATTCAATTTTTGAGAAATGTTACTTGAATTATTCTCTGATAAAAATATATTGTTTTCTCTAAACAAGCAATTAATTTTTAAATATTTATATAATTCAGCTCCAAGCAACAAAGATATTTTTGTGTTATCCTTTGCCTTAGAAAAATCTTTTAAAATATTCTAAATCACAGAGTACACATCCAGTGATCACTTTGTCACAATTCAAAGAATATGATCATTTCAAAGATGCAGTACCAAATGTCAACTCAGACATGTGAAGTGATCGTAATATTTTTATTGCAATGACTGAACTTCTCCCAAAGGTGAACTCTTTCTCTGGTTATCCTTGGTATCTCAATTTCCTTAATTTAATCCACTCAGTGGATTAAGCAGTGAGTAGTAATCGATTTTGTGGTTCTTATTCAAGATTCTTCTACCACCATTTTTTGGTTACCCTTAAAAGATTAAATATTGTGATGACTTATGTAAAAAAGGCAAACACCAGGAAATGCCTATGGTAACCCAACCACGACATGAAACTAAACTTTCCTTGGTTATTCCTTCCAGGGGATCATGACGACTCATCCTCTGACTATGACTCCCATGGCAAGTCCCACACTACTGATGGATCTCAGTCAGCTGGTGAGTTTGAGATGTCTTACTCATACATTATTAGCATCATCATTGTCAAACTCAATAGTTTATAGTGAAGAGTCATATACCTCAAAAAGTTGGCAGACTTTCTGGGTATATATGTCAGTCATGGAGAGGATTTAATAAATACATTGCTGAATCCCATATTTCATTCAGTTTTCTGACTCCTCTGGGGTAGAGTCTGAACATCTATACTTCAAATAAATTGTCTTATGACTCCTCTGGGGTAGAATCAGAGCATTTATACTTCAAATAAATTGTCTTATGACGCTGATGGGAATGGGAAGAACACTTTGAGATCTACTCTTTTGGAGAAAATTTTCCATCTGAAAGAATCAGGAAGAATTCAAGCCAGGTGCTAATTTGGCATTGCAGTACACCAGGGTGATGAAGAACATGAGTTTTGGAGTAAGAATAGACTGGGTTTAATCCCAGTTCTTCCACATAATAACTGGGGAGATTGCTTCAAAGATCTGAAACCCAATTTTCTAACCAATAAAATGGAAATAACAATCATTGTTATAGGACATGTTTTAAAGATTACATGACTATATATATATATATATATATTTAGTCTAATCCTCAGCACATAATAGCATTTATTGTGAGTGTGCAATGCACAATAGCATTGTCCTAACACTTCAAGTGTTTTTGGTTGAGTTACCCGAAACTGACATTTTTATAGGTCATCAAAAATCAATAACCTCTTATGGAATACTTATTATTAATTCATTTAATCATTATTTTACTGAGGCTCAAATTGCAATGCAAAAGCCTTACTCTGAAAAGCAAAAGTCTGATTTGAGGTAGATTTACCTGCGACTGTTAGCTCTGGGACTGTGGAAAGGATCTGTTGGTGTTCTCTCCCAAATGTCTCCAAATCAGGTGATTCCCAAGCAAACCAGGTCCTCCTCCTTCTTGTCTACATCAGGGTTAGGGCTGCTTCTAAACTTAAAAGCTCACCCAGATTCCACCTGACAGTGTTCAGGAAAGGAGGTCACATCAGGAAATGCCAGGCACTGAACCCGCCCTTTTGCATGCAAAGCATGTACTCAGTTCACTCTAGCGTTGTAGACCCAAAGATGGATTTTTTTCTTTTCTTCTTCTTTTTTTTTTTTTTTCTGTTTTGGGTGATGTATCACCTGGTGATGCACAGGGGTTACTCCTGGCTCTGTACTCAGGAATTACTCCTGGAGGTGTCCGGGGGACCATATGGGATTCTGAGAATCAAACCCAGTTCAGCTGCATACAAGGAAAATGCCCTACCCGCTGTGCTATCACCTAAGCCCCCAAAGATGGATTATTTAAAGCATGTCTTCATGGGTAACCTTTCACCTAAGAGATATCGGAGTTCATTTTTAAAAATGCACCTGAAAGGCTGGAGAAATAGACTGCAAATAGACTCCAAGTCCCTCAGGGAGTGATCCCGGAACTCAGAGCCAGTAGTAAGCTCAGCACTGCCAGGTGTGACCCCCAAAAGTCAAAAAAAAAGAAAGATCTGCATTTTCACCAGATCTCTCCCTTGCACTGATAATCTCAGTAAAATTTGAGAAACCACTGTCATAGACTGTTTTTCTCACAGTTTAATGATCTCTGGGCACCACCTTAGATTGTATCTCACTTCCCAACTGCAGTGTCAAGTGGTCCTCTTTGTGGAACTTGCCTACCCAGACAGCCCAAGCCTAGCTGGGTTTGCAGACCTCTAGGGCGCAATGCGAGACCTGCTATATCTCGTCCATCCAGGTCTTCACTTTTGCTTGAAGTGAGAATCAGGTGGGCGGGAGTGATCTCTTTTGTTTGACTTCTGTGCAGGTGTCTATTGTTCAAGTAGAGAGGTTTCATCTTGCTCTGCACACACCCAGATCTTTCCTTGCTGGGAGCGCTTTTTATGGAGAGCAAAATAAAGAGCTTAAGATCTATTAGTGGCCTCCTTTTCAAATATCAAAGGCAGTTAAATGAGTCAGAAAAAGACCAAGGAGAGTGACTGTGGGTCATGGTTGGTTTTAATGGCCAAAAGCTCTAGTTCAGAGGACCAAAGTCCCAAAACATACCCAAATGGGTGCAGGTGAAGACTTGCCAATGACCAAGCTCCCTGGGAGGCCACTGGAGAAAGTTCCTTGGACTTCTGAATTTTCCAAAACAAAAGAGCGCTGTCAAAATAGGAAGGGGTATGTTGAAACAGCCAGATGTCTGGTAAGGATTTATTTCGTTTACTCCATTTTGAATTTAACTAAAACACCAAGTGGCGTAAACAGGAGCTACCTCGTCCAAAATAAGCACTGTCATCAAAATTTCTGTTGTCCATGCAGTGTAAAGTTTAACTCTGAAAGGTAAGCCCAGTTATCTTCATGTAGGTCAGCAGAACTTGTTTTTGCAGGTTTCTTTTTGCTTTTTTCTTCTGTTTCTTTGTTTGGTTTTGCTTTGGAGGCCACACCTGGCTGTGTTCAGGGATTATTCCTGGCTCTGTGCTCAGTAGTCACTCCTGGCAGGGGTCAGGGGGACCGTATGGGGTGCCATGGATTGAACTTGGGTTAGCTATGTGCCAGACAAGCACCTTAATCACTCTAGTCCTTTGTGGTAGCTTTTAATTTATTTATTTTTCTTTCTTTGGAAGTATTCATTATTCTGTTATGGTAGTGGGAGAAATAAAGAGTTGGTCTTAATAGAAAATTTTCAAATTTTTGTTTTTAAGCACAGAAGAGGAGGATACCCAAAGCATTGCTGGGTTGAATCTTTGAAACTGTGATGTGAGGCTTTGAAAATATGGACAAATCTCTGCTTGTGACTTGTATTGTCTTTGATGCTTGTTGTTGCCTTCAAATATGAGGGGGTTATTTTTGAAGGAAGGTTTTTTTTTTTTGGTTTTTTGTTTGTTTGTTTGTTTGGGGACCACACCTGGTGGTACTCAAGGCTTATCCTGGTTCTATACTTAGGAATCACTCCTAGTGGGGTCAGGGAGCTATAGTGGGTGCAGAGCTCGAACTTGGTTTGGCCTTGTGCAAGGCAACCTACTCTTTATATTATCACTCCGTCCCTCACCAAGTGTGAAGTTTTTGTTTGCTTCTTTATTTTGTCTTTTTAGCATACAGTAGAAAACGTTCATTGCTTTCTTAAAAGGCCTTTTTTGTTTTTGTTGGTTGGAATTCTACTAGGACGATTTTATCATCAACTAAAGAATTATGATCCCTTTCCCAAACCCCTCACTTTTTAATAAGTATTTTTGTTTCTAAGTAGACCCTGGCTGTGATTTTTAGATATGTTTTGAACTTTCTGAGGCATATGAATTTCTTGAGGTTTTGTAGGAATAAAGATTCAGATTCAGTAGAGTGGGGTGAGGCTTGAGATTCTATATTCTTAGTAAACTTCTAGTAGAAGTCTTGGCTGCTGCTCAGGGGACCAGACTATTAGTAATAAATAGCTAAACTGAAAATGGAATATAACAAAAGCTTCAGTGACCTTATTGTGTGCTTCTTTTATGGTCTATACAATAACAATAAATATAATTCTTCCATCTGGTTGGGTGGCTGGAACCACACCCGGCAGTTCTCAAGGTTAGCTCTTCTCAGGGGTGACCCCTGCTGGCATCCAGGGGGATCATATGTGGTCGGAATTCAAACTGGGATAAGTGAAACAGAAGGCAAGTAAGGTCTCCCCTATTCTAGACTCTCCGGCCCCCATTCTCTGCTTTTTAACAAGAGTGGAGGGGACGACTCAAATGCAAGATTGTTCTGTTCTGGAGTCCAGTGCTGTCAACATGACACCATTATTACCATTAAGAATTCTCACCACACTTCCAAATAACCTCCAGTCCAACTGGCCTTTTCTGTGGCAATGCCTTTTCTATAACTTTTTATACTTGTCTGTGGCTTATGTCTGTGAATTGTTTCTCAGTGATGCAAATGTAGAAATTGGCCTTATGAGTTGTAAGAAACTCTGGTTATTTGTTCTAAACTTTGAATGACAGAGCTTGTGTTTTCCCTTAGGACATGCAAGTGGGAGTCAAGGAGGTGATGTAAACCCAACCTCAAGTCCTAAGAGAAAGCCTCAAATTCCAGGTGAGTTCCAGCTATGAAGCAAAAACAAATAAATAAAACAGAAAAACTAGCAGCTGGTCCCTCTGAAATATCTCAGGAAAGAAAGAAAGACAGAAGGAAAGAAAGAAAGAAAGAAAGAAAGAAAGAAAGAAAGAAAGAAAGAAAGAAAGAAAGAAATTTTCCTATCCCCTTAAAGCTAACATTACTTAAGTTCTTAAGTCAAAGAATCAATGGTTATTCAGTGCTTTGGGAAGAAAGGATAGAATATTCTTCTGTTTTTCTGGTCCTCTAGATTGCCTGACTTATCCTTGATCTGTGCCAAGGAAATGTCATGTTGGTTACTAAAGCTATCTTCCCAAGTGAATGATCGCCAAGTGATGTCAGGTCATACCCACATCCTTCCTGTCTGAGTCCCCTTTACTTTGGGTGTGGGGTGAAGTGGGTGATTTCACTTTGTAGACAGTGAGGAGGTAAATGCAAAAGACCTTCCCTCATGTTGTGTAGAGTGAACAAATTCTGGTTTTTACTGATCCTGACAAGAGCAACTTTTCAGAGAGAATTACATGTGAAACAAAGGATCTGAGAACCTTGAACCTTCTGAGCATCAAGATTTAAGGAATTTTGAGTAAAATTATTATTTTTAATTTTAAAAGCACAGAAGTTCAGTATCCTCTCTTGTGTATTTGCTACCAAACCCAAGTATGGGTACGCTAGTGACCATAATTAATGTAAAAGAGCAAAAAAAAGTTTATTCAGTGCTAGCAATCTGAGAAGATGGTGGATTTATTCTCACAAAGCCATTCATCTTACTCTCAGTTTAGGGCTAGGGTCTAGTCAGGAAAGTATGGTAGAAGGAAAGGTAGGGGTAGTAGGTAAGGAGAAGGGAGTCTTGTCCAGGTGATGCCAGTGGTTGAATGAATCCCTGGGTGCTGACAATCTGTGGCAAGCACAAATGTGAAATAAGGTCCATAAACAATGTCTAAGGTCCAATAAGAAAACTCCAGGATCTAACAGGAAAATCCTCAGGAGTCTCTTGGGAAGGACTGGTGATTACTCTTCGCTCCTCAGCTCAAAAAACTGGACCTGGTTTAACATGAAGAATATAAAGGCATGAAAGCACATTTCAGGAATGGGCGAGAAGGCAAAGGTCAAGGAAGAGTGAGAATAAGTTAGTCTCTAGCAAGCGTCTCTAAAACTTGCTCTTTGACATACATGAGAGAGAACCAAGAAGATATTTGTATGACTTCAGTTGCTGTCTCTCTCAGTTCAACTAAGATGAGGCCTGAGGCATTTTTTTTTTTGGTTGGGCTCACCATTGAAAATTTGTAAAAGGGAGATTACCCCTTAAAAAAGAAGGATTTTCTTAAGGTTGCAAATTATCCTTTTGATTGCCTCTCTTCAAAAGGTGGGTTCCAAACTGATCCTCCCTTCAGGGAAGGGAAGAGTATGATGTGAACCTGAGCACCCCTAAAGGCATAACACATGGAAAGATGGTGAACTTTGATGGTGAAAGATGGTGACAGGGAGGAAGAGGAAGGAAAGTCAAGTGTAATTTTCTATAATCAGGCAGTAGGATTCTTCCAGTTCTTGTGAGCATGACTATGGGGCATCTCAGAGGTAGAGACAGGCTGGTGCAGAAATAGTACCCCCCTGTCCACCATCTCTCGTCTAACCATGTAAAGATCAGACAAAAGCATCTGAGCAAGAAATCAAGGAAAACCAAGACCCCAAAGAAGAATAGCAAGGAATGACATCCCATCTTCCTTAATTCATTGCACAGATCTATGAACCAGTGGGAAATTTTTCTTTCAGGTTTTCATATTCCTATGCTATTAAGGCTTGTTTTGAACTATATAAATGATACTTTATTGGACTACAAGTGGTATATAGTTATAGAAAATAATTTTAAAAATATATCTAAACAAATGATGGAAAAATAATGTTATTTGCCTCACCAGTCAGTAATACTTTGATTATCATTTTTATATATGTCTCCCTGTAGTTTTCTGCGGGGGGATTCATACCCAGTGGTTTTAGGGGACTACTCCTGGGGCAGTGTTTAGGAAACTCTCCTGCTGGTGCTAGAATTTGGGACTTCTTCATGAAAATCATATACTCCAGCCCTTTGAGCCATTTCCCTGATCCTTTCTTACCGCTTCTGATGGTAAGAACCTATAGACCAAACCTATAGAAAAAACATAGACAGAATATTATAATATAAATAGATGCAGTTTAATAAACCACCATTCCCAACTGGTTGACTACAACTTTCCAATATCATGAAATATTTTCTCCCTGTAATATATCGCACATTATGAAATGGATGAACCATAACTTAGTCAATCATCCATGGCTGTTGTATATTAGGTCATTTATAACTCATGAATTATAAAGAACTCAGTAATGAGTTAAGAACTCAGTAATGAACATCTTTATAGCTAATGTTTAGAACCTGCAAGTTCTTGAAAGCATAATTGCTGTACTAGAAGCATGTATTTTTTGAAGACTTTTTTATATTTGGTCAAATGAATCTCTCCCCCCATCAAATGTGCATAATTTAGCCCTCCACAAAACTGGAATAGTTGGTCCTTTGTCTGCCACATGCCCCTTTTCACATTAGTATGTGATCTCCATCTTTGTACCCTAGTAAAAATGTAAGATGGATGCTTTTATCAAAGAAAAGAATGCTTATTTCAAGGTAAGAAACCATTCCCTTTAGTTCATTTAATATTTAACCAGAGGCAACTATAACTTTCAATAGATTATATTATTCTTGTAGGGAACATGTTTCTTCTGGAGGGATTTGGAAATCCTGACTGATGATAAGAGATTAAATCAAGAGACCTGTAGGACAAACACCCTATGACAAAATCAGCCTTTCAGTATCCGCTGCCTATTGTCTCGGTCTTTTGGTGGAAGTCATTCATAACACTGACTGGTTCTTGTTTGGTCTAGGTCAATGTATAAATACAGTTTTGTTTTTATAAAGCATATTTCCCAACCTCACACATGTCTTTCGGTTCACTCACACCAGAATGGCTGATAATCTTGGCATCCCTCTTGGCCCTGGCTTTGATTCTCGCAGTTTGCATTGCTGTCAACAGTCGAAGAAGGTAAGGGTATGCTTTTTTAGAGCCCATAACTTTGAAAACATATGATTTGAACATAAGCTCTGTAATCTACATGCTTGTGCTGTATATCCTGAAACCAGCACTCTGAGATCCTGGTAGAAATGCAGAATCTCAAGCCCCAGGTGGTTTTGAGACAAGCTCACAGAAATTTATGTATACAGTAGAGGTTAAGAAGCCCTACTCTGTGTTGGTTTTCCTTGATGGTTCACCACCTCATCGTGACAGTGGGTGACAAGGGTGTCAGCTGGCCAAGAGTGAACCAACACGATGCAGGCAGGTGCAGAGCTGGACTCCTTGCACCAACTGTGTCGATCTGGCTAGTACGTTCTGTACGTGAGCAGCACATCAATGCACAAGGTGTATGGCGTGTTTGTCAGCGTACAGTTCGTTACAACATTCCAGTCAACCAAAAGCTTGCATTCAGTAGACTGAGAACACCTGTAATGGTGATTAGAGGCCACCCCAAAAGCCTCTGTTCCTCTCGGAGAGCCTGGCAAGCTACCGAGGGTATCCCATCCCAGGGCAGAACTTGGCAAGCTACCTGTGGCATATTTGATATGCAAAAACAGTAATAATAATGGGCTCATTCTCCTGACCCTGAAAGAGCCCCCAGTATGGCACCATTGTGAAGGATGAACAAGGAGAAGCTGCTAAAATCTCAGGGCCAAACTAGGCTGCCAAAACAAAGGACTAAAATGACTGTAGGCACTTTTAATGCACGTACGCTGACACTGGACGCATCCATTGAAGACCTGATGGTGCAAGCACAGAAGATCAAATACGATGTCATTGGATTGACCAGAACGAGAAAGAATCAATTACATCACGCCGTTTTCGACACTGGCGTCGGTGGTGTCGGTATCCTCGTCAACATGAACTTGGCCATGAGCATCGAATTATTCGAATGCCTGACAACCCAAGTCAGGTGCTATGTTTGAATAGATGTGGCTCATTTCTGGAAGTTTCTATCTTTGTCGTCTACACACCAACATCCAACTATGATAAAGAAGAAATTGAGAAGTTCTACATGGGGCTGGAGAAGTTCTATTAAGAAAAGCACACCATCTACAAGGTGATTTTAATGCCAAGATAGGACCGAGAAGGTCGTCCAAAGAACTCCACATCGGAACCGACGGCCTACAATGGAACAAACAGGGTGAGAGACTATGTGAGTTCATCATGTCAACCACGACCATCCATGGTAACTCGCAGTTCCAGAAGGCTGAATCTAAACGTTGGACATGGGAGTCTCCCAGTGGACAATTCCACAATGAAATTGACCACATCATATTCTATCAACCATTTTGCCTGACCAATGTCGCTGTTGTCCCAAAATTTTAAATGGGTTCAGACCACCATCTCCTTCATGCAAAATTCTACTTCACAGAGCAGGGAGTAAGGGCTGCAAAGTTTAAGAACTCCCAGAACAACCACCAACTGGGTGCTCTTTGGCACTATTGCGCTATATAGGGAAGATGCCGTCATTGACAGCATCGACGAGGAATACTATCGACTGGTTCATCACCTCCATGATTGTGCAAGAAAAGCCAAGAGTGAGAAAGCCACAAAAAAGATGCCTGTCTTCAGAAAATCTGAAGCTCATTCGCCAACGTGGCTGGGTGCGAGCCTCAGGCAACCACAAGCTAATATCTGAGCTTGCAAAGCAGTGCAGAGAAGCTATAGAGGAAGACCTCAGAGAGAGGAGAGCAGCAGTGTAGGCTGACGTGGCAGAAGCCAGGGAAAGCATTTGCAATGCCCGCCTATCGTTCGTCAACTACAAGACCAAGATGACTGCCCTCGGATGCCCTGATGGATCTATCACATCTTCCAGAAGGGCAATGGAGAAGATTATCAACGACTTCTACTTGGATCTCTTTGATAGCCACATCCACCTGCTCACATACCAAATTCCACAGGATGGATATGTCATTCCCAGCATTCTCCCCTCTGAAATCCAACACACCATTTTGTTGGTAAAGAAGTGAACAGCACTTGGTCCAGGCAACGTCAGACCCAAACACCTGAAGAATCTGCCACCAGTACTCATCAATACACTGGCTTGGCTCTTCATGTGCTACCTGTCTGAATGCAAGGTTCTGTCCCAGTGGAGAACCAGCAGGACCATTCTGTTGTACAAGAAGGGAGACTTCCATGACATTGGCAACTATCTTCCAATTTGCCTGTTGTCTGTCATCTGCAAGCTGTTTACTCAAGTCATCCTGAGTGGGATTGGCAGAACACTAGACAAAGGACAACTATGCAAGCAAGCCGGATTCCAAAAAGGATTCAGCATGATTGACCATACCCACACGGTGACCAAGCTCATTGAGGTTTTTCAAGAGTTCAAGATGCCACTCTGTCTAACGTTCATTAATTTAAAGAAGGCCTTTGATTCTGTTGAGACTGAAGCGGTCATTGAAGCCCTAGCCAAACAGGGCGTTCAAACTCAGTACATCAGGATCCCCCGTGAGCTGTATTACGGATTCACTACCAGGACCTCACCATTCTACAAGGAAGTGATCATTAATGTAAAGAGAGGGGTTTAGCAGGGTGATACCATTTCACTGAAACTCTTCAGTGCCACCCTCAAGAATGTCATGCGACAACTGGAATGGGAAAAAATGGGAGTGAAGATAGATGTCCAGCAACTACACCACCGCGGCTTCACTGATGACATCGTTCTAATAACACCAAACATTAACCAAGCGGCATGAATGCTGGCCGACTTCAACCATGAGTGTGGAAAGGTTGGACTACAGCTGAATCTCATAAAGACAGTGTTCATGAGAAATGAACTAGTTCCAGACGTTCCATTCGCTCTCAACAGAACGAACATCTCCAAATGCAACATTTATGTGTACCTGGGTCGAGAACTCAACATGACAAACAACTTGGCACCAGAACTGCACAGGAGCAAGAGAGAGACGTGGAACGCCTTCAAGAGCATTGAAGAAGTTATTAAGAGGACAAAGAACCTTCGGCTCTGGGCACATCTTTTCTTTTTTTTTAATTTTTTTTTTCAGGCACATCTTTTCAATTCCACTGTTCTTCCTGCACTAACATACACCTCATAGACCTGGGCCCTACTAAAACAGGATGAGAATGCTATTTGGGCCTCCCAAAGAAGAATTGAAAGAGCTATGCTTAGAGTATCACGCTTCACTCAAGTGAGAGAAGAAATCCGGAATTCCAACCTCTATGGATGATCGAGAATCAGGGATGCTGTCTTGTTTGCCAAAGTGTCAAAAATCAGATGGGCCTGATACGTAATGTGATTTGGAGACAACCGCTGGACTAGAGCCTTTCCTGACTTGATTCCACGGGACATCAAAGGAACACCTGGCGGCCCACCTACAAGATGGTCAGACTTCTTCATCAAGACCCTGAATGAACGGTTTGATGCTCTTCATGTTCTTGGAGCGAGCAGATGCCATTGGGCTACACTAGCACACAATGGGGATGAATGGAGACGTTACTGGCACCTGCTTGAGCAAATCAATGAGCAACAGGACGACAGGTGATACTCCGTGTTGGAACATTGAAACTCAATGTTCTGAAACTGAACATTGTAACTGAAACTCAATCATGAAAAATTTTCTGACTGCATATCTCACGTTGATTCAATTGAAAAAAAGGAAAAAATGGAAGCCCTACTTGGGCACATTCTTTGGAGAAAAAAGACTGATTATTTAGAATATCACATTTACATAATGGTTGAACCTTTTGTAGGTCTTAATTTGGGAGAGGGAGCCAGTTTAAATTCATGGAGACTCTACCTGATAGAAGTTAAATATCTCACCTGAATGGCATAATAATACAGATCTTTAAGTGCATTTACAAAATATGTGTTAATACACAGATATTTATAAAGTGCATTAATAAGGCAGGCACAAAAGCACTGTAAAAGAATTACGAATTGGTTGTCTACTTTTGCATGTTTGCTATCCCTGTTTCCACAGTAATGGTGAGGTCATTGCAGTGATCAAAAGCTTTCCCTGAAAGAGTCTAAAGATAGTCAATTTCCTAGAACTAGCTTGTTGGTTGTTTTTATTTCCCAGAGACCCCTTTCCCTTAACCAGCTTTATTGTTTGAGAATCTTTTTTAAATGATATGTGTGTATATATATATATATGTATATATATATATATATATGATGAATTTGTGACCAGACTCCTGAAATAATGCTACTTAAAGTGAAGGAAATCATTTTTAGCAACAAAACTTAAATAGGAACAATCCAAAAGCATACATCTAACTTTCCCAGTAAGAAAGTGTTCTTTTTCTCCAAGCATATTCACAAGGAACATTAAAAAATTTTATAAATATTGCTAGGATTCCTTCTGAACAGGCAAAATTTCTAAGCAGGGCCACTTTGGATGTACCACCAGATCCTCTGATAGTACAGAAAAAGCCTCTAAATTTGTAAGGAGATCTAGAGACATATGTAGAATCTTTCCTGCTGGCTCTTGTGAAGCAACATATAGTTAATTCTATTGCTGTGCATAACCCATGCAGTTCCTCTAATTATTTGAGAGAGATGAACAAATGCCATTTACACCAATATTAATAAGAATACTGTAAGTAAAAAAGCTGTTTTATTATCTATATATTTGAGAATATAATGAAAAAAGAAAAAGATGAGATGTGATAGAAGATTATCTAAGGAACAAAAACTAGAAATTAAAAGTTAAAGAAACTCCTAAGATACTTCGACAACTCACTGGGAAGTGATTTGGAGGGGAGGAGTAAGTAAAGTAAAGTAAAGGCCCTCCCGTTGATCATCGATTTGCTCGAGTGGGCCCAGTAACGTCTCCATTGGAGACTTTGTTGTTACTGTGTCTGGCATATCGAATACTCTTGGTAGCTTGCCGGGCTCTCCAAGAGGGGCGGAGGAATCAAACTCGGGTCGGCCATGTTGGCTGCATGCAAGGCAAACGCCCTACCACTGTGCTATCACTCAGAGAGTTTGAATTTAAATAATA